ATGTTCCTATGCCAGAACGTTTACTTATTGTTTCCTTTAATCTTGATTCACCAGCATCCACTTGGTTTCAACCTCTGGATCAAGATGGTTTGCTCCCTGATTGGCCATCTTTTTCCACGGCACTACACCGCCGTTTTGGCCCTACGGAGTTTGAAGATGCTTCTGTTGCTATTGCAAAATTACAACAATCTGGGTCAGTCACCGACTACTACGCCGCATTCGAACAGCTATCACAGAAGGTTCCTGGCTTTTCCGTTACAGTCCGAAAGGGGCTCTCCTAGGAAGGTCTAAAATCCACCCTCCGTTGTTCGATGCTTGTCCACAGACCACAAGATATTCACGAAGCCTTGGCGTATGCTAAAGTCTACGAGGACAAATTTAGTGGCGAGAGATCCACTAAGCCGTGGGTTCCACGCTCCCAGATGCCTTCCACTCCACCGCCTCAATCAAACCAACCCACCACCGTTTCCATCAAACTACCCTCCCATCCATCTACTTTGCCTATTCGTCGCCTTACCCAAGCAGAAATGCAGGCTCGGCGTGATAAGAACTTATGTTACAATTGTGACGAGCGCTTTACTCCAAGTCACAGATGCGAAGGGCGTCCCACCCTTCTCTATCTAGATGGAGTCCAAGATGACGATGAGGAAATAATACCACCAGAGGAACCACCACCCCCACCGGAGCCAGATATACAACCTGAAATTAGCCTGAATGCCTTGTTTGGCCATCGATCCTCCAATTCCTTTAGACTTACCGGCACCATCACTGGAACAGCCGTCCAGATCCTAATTGATGGTGGTAGCACCCATAACTTTATCACCCATAGAATGGCCTCCCATATGCATCTTGTTTTGCATGCAATTGTCCCATTTAAGGTCCATGTTGGTAATGGTGATACACTTATATGTTCTGCATCTTTTACTACTGTGACTTTAACTATTCAGTCTCACTCCTTTATTGTGGATCTATTTGTTTTAGATCTTAAGGGGGCTGATGTTGTATTGGGAGTCCAATGGCTCGCTACCCTTGGCCCAATTGTTACAGATTACGCTGCATTTACTATGGCCTTTTCCTATTTGGGAGAGCGAATCTTGCTTCACGGAGACCAACACTTCGGGCCTACTCACATCTCTTCAGCCCAACTCCATAAGTTGATCACACAAGATTCAATATCATCTTGCCTCATGTGCCTTTCTGCTAATGTTCCGTCAGAGGCATCGGCTACTGGCCCTGATGCAGAACCTATAATACCAACAATATTTTCTTCTTTATTGCAGGATTTTGCTGACATCTTTGTTGTCCCAGGTACACTCCTTCCAGACCGCAACTTCAATCACCGAATTTCCTTGGTTCCTGCTGCTAAACCGATACAAGTGCGGCCTTAAAGATACCCCTATTTCCAGAAAAATGAGATTGAGCGACTGATCACTGAGATGTTGAATGCTGGTCTAATTCAACACAGTCAATCTAAGTTTAGCTCCCTTGTCTTATTGATCAAAAAGAAAGACGGAACTTGGCGTGTCTGCGTCAATTACCGGGCTCTAAATGCTATTACAATCAAGGATAAGTTTCCGATTCCGACAATTGATGAATTAATCGATGAGTTGCATGGAGCAACTATTTTTTCTAAGCTGGATCTTCGTTCCGGCTTCCACCAGATCAAGATGCACCTTCCGGACGCCCACAAAACATCGTTCCGCACACACCAGGGACACTATGAATTCCTGGTTATGCCCTTTGGTTTAAGTAATGCACCATCCACCTTCCAAGCCACCATGAACCAGGTCTTCGCAGCCTATTTGAGGAAATTCCTTGTCGTTTTCTTCGATGATATCTTAGTGTACAACCCTTCCGCATCTCTCCATTTGGATCATCTCACTACTGTGTTATCTACCCTTCGGGCCCATTCTTTCTATGCTAAAATGTCCAAGTGCCTCTTTGCCCAACATTCAGTTCACTTCTTAGGCCATATTATTTCTGGCCTGGGTGTCCAACCAGACCTGGACAAAATCACGGCCATATCAAACTGGCCCATTCCAGCCAACGTCACACAACTGCGAGCATTTTTGGGGTTGTCAGGCTATTATTGCAAATTTATCAAGCATTATGTTTCAATCGCAGCTCCATTGACAGACCTTTTGTCCAAATCAGCCTTTGGGTGGAATCCCAGGGCCGATGAAGCCTTTCAGATACTGAAGAGACTCCTGACGGAAGCCCCAATATTGGGCCTCCCTAATTTTCAACAGCCATTCACTATAGAAACAGATGCCTCTGGAGTGGGCATTAGCGCCGTATTACTCCAGGACGAGCGGCCAATCGCATTTTTCAGTCGCAAATTGGGTCCTTTAATGCAGCGAAAGTCAACTTATGTTCGAGAGATGTTTGCTATCACATCTGCTATCTCTAAGTGGCGCCAGTATCTCCTCGGCTCCCCATTTGTGATTCGCATGGACCATAAGAGTCTCCATAACTTGATGAATCAAGTTATACAGACCCCGGAATAGCAGTAGTTTCTTTCAAAGCTGCTTGGATTTGACTATGCAATTGTTTACAAATCCGGCAAAGCCAACACAGTGGCTGACAGACTATCAAGACAGGGTGAAGGGACCTCGTCTGACCAGTCCCCTCAATTGGCAGCCATCACTGGCCCTACTTTGAATCTTACTACTGTTTTACAGTCCGAGTTAGTTATAGATAACTATGCAAAGAAAATTATACAGGAACTACAGCAAGATCCTACACTATGGCCAGAATGGCACTACAGACACAGTCTCTTATTTCATCAACACCGCATTTTTCTGCCTGCTGCTTCTTCCTTAATTCCCCATCTCCTTCACGAAATCCATGATGCTAAACAAGGCGGCCATTCCGGTGTGCAAGCTACTTTCCACCGCCTGCACCGCAATTTCACCTGGAAGGGAATTTACAAGGATGTCAAAATGTTGCGTAAAATCGGCAAGTGCACCTATCGTACCAAGTAATAAAGAGTGAGTAGAGTATCGTCTCCACGAGGATTGAGGCACCTAAGTTGTTATAACTATTCCTCTTTTGTTGGATTAATCAAAATAGGTTGAGAATGATTGTAGTTCATGAAACAAACTAAAATAGTTAAAGTAAAAATGTAAATGATTCCAAAAGTGTTTTCAGAATGCAAGAACAAAAGATTACGTATTGGGAAAATATTTGAGAAAATATTGCGGTAAAGAGAAACAAACACCTTTCTGATCCCCACCTTGCAACTTGGATTACGTTTACATTTACCTATTTAATTGATCAAACAATTCATCATCTTTTATATGAGTAGTTAAACCTTAATCCCTTAGTGACTTTAATCTTGTTAACTCTATTAGAATCCTAATCCCTTAGAAATCCCTTTTCGAGTTAACCCTTAGAATTAATGAATCTTTAACGTTCGCGGTTCATGTAGCCTATCCCTAGTGAGTACATGAGCAGTTATCTTATTCTTCGTCAGGAATTAGAATTACAACATCCCTATTGTAAACCCTAACACTCGCAATCCTACTAGATTGATCAGTTCCAATAGAATTATAAAATGAAGAACAAGAAAAGATAAACTCAATTAAAATAGATAAACATAAATTTCAACCAAGGTACAAGGGATTCACATCAAGGGTTGTGACCCTTACCACAATGATAAAACTAGCCAGACATGTTCATGTCTGACAAAATAACGATAAAATAAAGTAGCATTTAAAACCTAGAAGAGAAATTGAAGATGAAGATCTTCCGTCTTGATCGATCGAATCCTTGAATCTCCGAGACGCTCCAAGGAATCTCCGTTCTCTTTGTTGTTTTTCTCCTCTTGATTCTCCAAAAGTTTTTTTCTTCTTCTGTTTCTGATCCTTTTATTAGGTTTTGGGAAAACCTATTTTCACTTGCACTCCAATTGGGCCTTATTTTGGCTGATTCGCAGTAAAAATTATATCGTCCACGCACGGGGCGCCAAGCCTGGCGCCCCAAACTTGGGAGAAACAGAAGCTGAATCCGTCAACGGCGCCCCGGGCGCCAACTCCCGCACGCCGGGCAACAGGTTGGCGCGTCACGCGCCACCTCCAGCGCACCGTGCACGGCAGAAACAAAAGCAAATCGTTGATTTGGCGCCTCGTGCGCCAGGTACCGCGCCCCGTGCGCCATTTTGGCGCGCCGTGCGCGGGCAAAACAGAAGCAAATCGTTGATTTGGCGCCTCGGGCTCCAGGCCGCGCCCCGTGCGCCACATACCACGCGTAGTGCGCCAACGGGAAATTTGGTTTCTCCGTTTTTGCTTCTTTTTGCGGCGTTTCCTGTTATTTAACATATAACTTGAGTGAAAGCATGATTGAGAAGGAATAATCAATATTTCTTGCATTTAATGACTATTTTCACACATTTATGATTAATTCCTTATTTCTTTTAAGTTAGAAAACATCATCTGCTAGACTCACATCACAAAACATACGTTTCCAACTGCGAAGTGTGTCAAAAGTTAAAACCTCCTACACATGCCCCATACAGGCTTTTGCAACCCTTACCCATACCTGATTCCATTTGGACAGATATTACTATGGACTTTGTTACTCACTTACCATTGTCTGCAGGATCCAGTGTTGTATTGGTAGTGGTGGACCGCCTATCCAAAGCTGCGCATTTTATCCAGCTTCCGTCTCAGTATTCCGGCTCTAAGGTTGCATCCTTGTTCTGGGAACACGTCAGAAAGCTACATGGCTTGCCTCAGACGATCATATCCAACAGAGACCCCATATTTTTAAGTGATTTCTGACGAACACTTTTCAAGCTGCAAGGCACAACCCTCAAGTTCAGTTCATCCTACCATCCACAAACTGATGGACAAACGGAGCGAGTAAACAGGTGTTTAGGCACATGCCTGAGAGCCTTCGCCCAAAATCACCCTCGTTCGTGGACCCACTACCTTAGCTGGGCAGAGTACCACTACAACACAAGCTACCACCATTCCACCGGGTTTACGCCTTATGAGGTGATGTACGGTAAGCCTCCGCCAGATCTGGTAGCTTACAGCCTCGGCTCCTCTCTCAATGAAGCCGTGGATACCACACTCAGCCAGCGTAACACCATCATGAAGACATTAAAAGAAAATCTCAGACGAGCACAACAAATAATGAAGGCACATGCAGACAAAGGTAGAAAGGACTATAAGGTTACCGTCAGAGATCTTGTTCTGCTCCGTTTGCAACCGTACAGACAGGTGTCAGTCCATCGTCGTTCCTCCCAAAAACTGAGTTTACGCTACTATAGCACGTTTGAAGTTTTAGACAAGATTGGGAAAGTCGCGTACTGCCTCAAGTTACCTCATTCCGCCATGATTCATGATGTTTTTCACATCTCGATGCTTCGCCCTTTCAAATCGGGTCGCACCTACACGCTTCATGATCTTCCAGACACAACCAACGATGACTCTCCGATGGCTTTGACACCATGTGGTGTAGTAGGTAGCAGATCAGTTTGGAGAAATGGCTGATTGGTTCCCCAATTACTGGTGCAATGGCTAGGATTGAGGCCAGAGGACTCAACGTGGGAAGACAAGGCTGACCTTTTACAGGGAGGAGAAACATTACATCCGGCAGGGGCCACCTTGGCAACCAAAGAGACGCCTAAGGGAGACGAACGAGGCATTTTTCGTCAGACCAAAACACAAGTGGGGCAACTGAAACACTCTTTTCACTCACATAGACCTATGCAGCAACTCCCAACCACTCCCTTTACTGCTGGCCAGCTCATTCCAACTACTCTCATTGATCCAACAACGCCTATTGGTTCCCCTGTGTCGGCAAACTCCCACCCGCTGGATATCACAATTCCATAACCTTACCAACTTGATGGTGTTGTCCACTCAACTACTCTACCAGCTGCGGGCCCTATAACACCCCGTTCTAGAACCGGTTTGTTAACATCGCCTTATGATATTAAGCGCAGTTACAATCACATGGTTCAATTAAAATTCGGTTAAAATTTTTCTTTTTAAAACATGCCGAACTTAAGATAACCAAGTGCGTGATCATAACCGTATTACGTTGCAGAATAAAACAACTAAGCTTAACATCATACTTCTTATATCCTTAGACCAAATGTTATTAAATGTCTTCTTCTAATCATTAGCTACGCGTGGCTTCGAACCGCGCCTCGTTTGGAGCACTGTAGCTCGCGTTATGACAAATTAGAGCAACATAAGTGCGTGTTGGACACAGGCCCCGCGCGCTAAAGCGCGCGTTATCGGGCGCTAAAGCCTCCATCTGGGCGCTTAAGCGCACGGAGGCAGAGAGCACAGGTCTTTCAGTGTAAATGGGCGCTTAAGCGCGCACCAGGGTGCTTAAGCGCGATATCCTGAGCGCTTAAGCCCCCATTTGGGACGTTTTAGCGCGCAGAGACAGAAGCATCTCCTCCTTCAGTGGCTAAGGGCGCTCAAGCGCGAACCAGGGCGCTCAAGCGCGCAACCCTGGGCGCTTAAGCCCCCACTCTAGGCGCTTAAGCCCCCACTCTAGGCGCTAAAGCCCGCGGAGACAGTAAGCATCCCATCTTTCCGCAGCGAAGGGCGCTTAAGCGCAAACCAGGGCGCTCAAGCGCGCAATCCTGGGCACTTAAGCCCCCACTTTGGGTGCTCCAGCGCGAGGAGGCAGATAGCATTGGCTCTCACAGGGGCAGCAGGGCGCTTGAGCGCGCTCCTGGGCGCTTGAGCGTGCTGCCAGGGAATTCTCTCTCTCTCATTTCTCAAGTCCCAACCTAGGGGAAAGGGCATCCCCATGACAAGCCTCAATGGTTCATGCCTATAACTTAACCCTAGCACTTATCCAACCTCTCCTCATGGATTATACTAAAATTTGGGTAGCATAACCTTTGTTTTCTCAACATTTCCCAATTTAGCACTAGGTATCTAATCAAGTTTTCCAGCTCAACAATCCAATACATAATGAGCATACATATATTGAACTTAAAGTAATCATCAACTACAAATCATGTTCATTACAATTCATGGAACTTAGCTTACAAAACACTATGATCACTCCCTTGGCTCCCATCAACAAAGAGATAACCAAAGGCATGAGCATAGGTTAAGTCCATTCCAAATAAGCAGAACATACATCTATCAATTGTCTATTAATTACAATCATATACATGTGAGCTACAAAACAACATGTATAATATCAAAATACAGGATCCTCATACATCACTACTAGTCCAAGTATGGCCATTTACCACTGGTGGCTCCTGCAGCATCCTTACCTGAAAGGGGGTCCCCACAACACGGGGTGAGATATACGAATATATCCAGTAAACCAGGGGTCCTTGGAGAATCTCTCCACCCCACAGTTCCATATCAGTGTAATAGCAATAACAATAATAATGCAGTAAATACATATCTATGCAAAGTGCAATAACATCTCCAGGAGAAATCCCTCGAGCTCTCAAGCTGTCCTAAGGAAACTCAGATGCAAATAGTCCTACTGGCCAGCTAAACTACCAAGTATGATTTAATCATCGTCATGCAACATACCAACATAGGGAAACACCATCCTTTGCCACACCAAATGCATACACATATGTATAACAAAGCATTACATTATTTCATTACATTTATATACACTATAACTACCACTACCCTTTCAGGGCTTGGTGGAACAATCAAGGGAATTACACCCAAGGTCCGAAGGCTTACCTCAAGCTTCTGTCAACCTATGTTCTCCACCAACAGGTTCCACAACTAGTCAACTTTAATTCCAACTATTATTTGCAATTTCACCTACATTAAGGTGCCATAGTATCAATCATGCCATCCAATGAATATTCATATATACTCATTAATACCACAACAACTCTACATCACAATTTGGCATGAGCTTACCTATTCTAAGGAGCTAATCAAGCTCCATAGCTTGCTCCAATGGTTGATCACTCACGGTTGGTCCAAATGTCTCAATCTTAGACATCACAAGGACACAATCATCAATCAACCAAGCCAAACCATTGAGCATAATTGCAAGAAAACTCACAACCAAGTATCATATTCTTGCAATATTCAAAGTATAGTCATATAACTATCTAAGCTCATTTTCACCGATTAATCATCATTCTTAGCATTTCTCATAACATACGCTAAGCTCCAATACGCCTAGAACATAGCCAATCTATCAACATTTCATAAAACCCTAAAACACTATTCATTAAAAACCCTAAATCATGAAATTTTCCAAGAAAACAAGGTTCAAGGGTTAGAATCTTACCACCAATGGTCACACAACCAAGGATTGATGGCTCATCAAGCTCCAATGGAGGTTGAAGCTCTCAAACACCTCAATTTCTCCAATGGACCGAATTTTTGGAGGAGGATATCTCACTCCACAATGCTCCCCACTACAAACTAAGCTAGGATTATGAAAGAGGAGAAGATTTGGAGTGATTTAGGCTTTGGAATGAGTTGATTTGGCCAAGGTTTGCTCACTCTATGGTTTCCCCCTTCTTCTTCCCTCTTCTCCCTCTCCTCTTTTCTTTCTTTTCTCCTCTGCTGGTCGACGGGTTTCTTGGGGGGATTTGGGTTCCTTTTTTGTTTTATCACTTAACATAAGTTAAGTGGTAACATGTGGGTATTAGTTCGTCTATCTATTCGATTCCATTAATTACCAAACTTTACCCAAAAGTCTGGAATATTATTCTAGGAATATTTCCGCTTTTATTTTTATATTTTGGGTACTCTTGCCTACACCCATTTATACCCCTTAATTTTCACTGAGTACACTTTTTAACTCCAAAGTGACTCAGATTCATTTAATTAAGCCTTATACTTAATTTTACTCACTAAAACATGCTTAATTATTTAATTACATGTAATTTGCTAATTAATTAGGTTAGGGCTTGGCTCAGCGGTAAGCTTGCTTGCCGTGGTGTGTCAGGTCGCGGGTTCGAATCAGCCTCTCTGCAAAAAGTAGGGGAAAGACTGCCTAGAGTATTCCCTTCCCCAGACACTCACGAAGTGGGTATTTGAACTGGGTCGGCCCTTTTAATTAGGTTAGGGCTATTATAGGCCCCACTGAAACCCAATTACTCGGTCTCGAGGACGAGCCCGTTTTTGATGGGGTGGGAATTGTTGCCAACCATTTAGGCCCACTTGGCCCGTCTGATGGATTAGCTAATAAGAGAGTTATTCAAAGGCCCAAACGTTTTGATGACTATGTTGTAGGCTGATAGCCTTGTAGCCCTTTTTCTCTTTTGTATGAGTTGTATTTCTCTTTCATATGAGTTTTATTACTTGTTATTACTTATGTAACAGAATGTGGTTGTTAAGGTTGTTATATGCCTTGTTGAATCAATGAGAATGGGAGGCATTCAGTGAAAATTCTCTTTTCTTCCCCCAGTTTCTCTCTCTTCTTCTCTCTCCTTAACCTCATCTGATTTCTTAAATCCATCGGGTAACAATTTACCACACCAATATCATATAGAAACATAACCCTCACAATGTATAATCATATCACCATGCATTTCCAATTTTCATGAAAAACCCAAAATCCTCATCTATTTCAAATTCATAAAATCAATTACTTCAACCATAGAAATTAAAGTTACTCACCATGAATAGGCTCATAGACCCACAATCTCAACCTTTCAAGCCTTCAACCAAGCAAACAATGGCTTTTTTTCTTCCTTGATGAACAGTAACCGTCACTTTGGGGGAGGAAGATCTCTTGATACAATGGTTCCCAAGAAGAAAGGAGGCTTGGGCTTTTATCATAAGAGGTTGCACTACAACTTTTATGAAATGCACATTGTGTGGAAATGGCTTGTAGAAGAAATGAATTCCTAGCCCTAGAAGCACACCAAGGCCCGCCACGGGTCTGTCTGAGAGGGAGAAGAAGATGTAGGTGTATATTTTGTGTTTTCTCTCTCCCAGTAAGTCATTTAAGTGAATTTTTACTTGCGTAATTCACATTTCTTACTCTTAATCTTACATATTTATAAATTATTATATTTTTAAGAGCTTGATGTTTATCATTTTAAATGATATAAGTTATGTCATTTTAGGAAAGAGATAAAGACAAGAAATATAAATCATGGGAAAAAATGGGTAATTTTTTTAATTTAAATTTTAAATAAAAAAATTTTATTTTATGTATTTCTCTATCTTAAAATGACATAACTTTATGTCATTTAAAATGACAAACACTCTTCCCTATTTTTAATCCTAAAATAATTTATTTGGCCTGAATTGAATTTTCTCATTTTTAAATTTTATCGGTAAATTTCATAACAGTGTATTTTATTCGATAAAATCACTTTTTATACTTTTTCTCATAAAGTATTATATTATACAAAATTATATTTTGAATCCAATTCTAATATTGATTTTATCAAAATAAATCTTTAATTATCAAAATCGCAGGTTGGAGTTGTTATGCTTAATTACTTATAATGTTAACAAATCGGTTCGATTACGGGGGCAAACTGTATAGGATATCCTTCACGCGCTCGTAATAAGAAGTAACCACATGAGGTGAGTTTCTGCGCAAACAGCCATAACAAGAATATTGACTTCTGAACTTCGACGTGAGGGTGTTCGTTGCTGGCCAATGGAATATGAATTGCATTGGGTTGCCATTAAGGTCATCATATTTAACAATGCTAAGAAAATTGTAAGGAATAGTTATAATAATCAGCTTAAACTTATCAGTTTATGCTAGTTTTAAGCATCAACCTTGGGATCAATGAAATCCAAAGGCTTTCTCTTTTGATTTTATTTAGTCAATTCCATCTTAAAGTTGCATTATTCTTGCAATCAGATCCAAAAAAATTAGCACCATTTCTCTCTCAAAAAAAAAGTCTTGGAAGAATAATTCAGCTTACTTTATAATACAAGTAAGGTTAATAATGCTTTAGATTCTTTTATGCTGACGACGTATTAGTACAATATTATGATGATTTTTTTACAATAATAAACTAGGCTTCATTGAAATACAAATTTATAATATATTATATGACTTCAAGGTTAAGGTCAAGAGATGCCTTCTCGATATTCTTTAAATCAAGCCACTTTCTTAATGATTCAGCCTCATCAATCTTGGCCGCCCTTAGATTGTGACTGAAATCAAAGGATGAAACCCAAATTATTGACAAGTATATTATATCAAATGGCAAAAAAGAAAGACTAGTAAATAAGCTTGGGAGAAACCAGGACAAAAATTATAATAATAATAACGTTGACCAGCGTTGTGTTGAACCAAGTACCTCGTGGTTCCAGTGATTTTCTGCTCAAGATTTCTCAAAACTATCAACCATTTAAAGAATGGAAATTTCCATGCTTTTCCTAACCCAGTTGTGAGAGGTGAATCTCTATTCCATTATTAAGAATATCAATGCTTCAAAAGCCAGAATATCTTAACTAACCTGCTCCAATATAATTGTTGTCTTTTGGCCGAAAAGGTGATTGATGTGATATTGGTATAATGGACAAAGATAGACCTTCAGCTATGCTTTTGTTCATCATTTTTATGTTATCTACCCACAGCGTTTTTGGTGCAGACCTTATTGATATCTATTGTCCTCTATCAAACGCCTCCTTTAAGGTTTCTGCGCAAGCAGCCATAACAAGAATATTCACTTCTGAACTTCGACTTGAGTGTGTTCGTTGCTGGCCAATGGAATATGAATTGCATTGGGTTGCCATCAATGGAATATTTAACAATGCTAAGAAAATTGTAAGGAATAGTTATAATAATCAGCTTAAACTTAACAGTGTATGCTAGTTTTAAGCATCAACCTTGGGATCAATGAAATCCAAAGGCTTTCTCTTATGATTTTGTTTAGTCAATTCCATCTTAAAGTTGCATTATTCTTGCAATCAGATCCAAAAAAATTAACACCATTTCTGTCTCAAAAAGAAAATCATGGAAGAATAGTTCAGCTTACCTTATAATACAAGTAAGGTTAATACTTAATAATGCTTTAGATCCTTTGATGCTGACGACGTATTAGTACAATATTATGATGATTTTTTGACAATAATAAATCTAGGCTTCATTGAAATACAAATTTATTATATATTATATGACTTCATGGCTAAGGTCAAGAGATGCCTTCTCGATATTCTTTAAATCAAGCCACTTTCTTAATGATTCAGCCTCATCAATCTTGGCCGCCTTTAGATTGTGACTGAAATCAAAGGATGAAACCTAAATCATTGACAAGTATATTATACCAAATGGCAAAAAAGAAAGACTAGTAACTAGCAATAAGCTTGGGAGAAACCAGGACAAAAATTATAATAATAATAACGTTGACCAGCGTTGTATTGAACCAAGTACCTCGTGAAGCTCGTGGTTCCAGTGATTTTCTGCTCAAGATTTCTCAAAACTATCAATAGTCAGTACTTAATTCCAGTCAATATCCATTTCAAGAATGGAAATTTCCATGCTCTTTCTAACCCAGTTGAGAGAGGTGAATCTCCATTCCATTATTAAGAATATCAATGCTTCAAAAGCCAGAATATCTTAACTAACCTGGTCCAATATAATTGTTGTCTTTTGGCCGAAAAGGCGATTGATGTGATATTGGGATAATGGACAAAGATAGATCTTCAGCTATGCTTTTGTTCATCATTTTTATGTTATCTATCCACAGCGTTTTTGGTGCAGACCTTATTGCTATCTATTGTCCGAATGAATTCCCATTTTACACTCCCAACAATTCATTCCACAATAACCTCAAGCTTCTTCTGGGGTTGTTGTCCTCCGACACCGCTTCAGAGGCAGGTTTCTATAACACATCTACAGGAGAAGGGCCAGACCAAGTGTATGGACAAGCACTCTGCAGAGGGGACATCACCAACTCCACAGTTTGCAAGGAATGCATTGAGAAAGCAAGCCAAGATATAATGAATAGGTGCACCAGTGAAGATGCAATGATATGGTATGAACTTTGCCAAGTTCGGTACTCCTTTCAGATGTTTATATCAAGGATGGTTTATACTGGAAAGTATCCACCGCATAATGATCAGGAGAAGAATGTCTCAGATCCTATTGGATTTGATAAATTCTTGACTTTCTTAATGAACAATCTCTCATATGAGGCTGCTTTTAATCCTGCTAAGAACATGTTTGCAGCTGGGGAAATTGATATCCCTGGGACGAAGACAATTTATGGACTAGTCCAGTGTACCAGGGACATTTCTGAAACAGACTGTAGTAGTTGTTTGAGTTCTGCATTAATGGACCTTACTGCATGTTGTTCCTACCGGGAAGGAGGGATGATTGTTAGTAGGACTTGCAATGTGAGGTTCGAATCGTCTGAGTTCTTTAATACTTCATCAGCATACCAGTTGATTTACCCAACTTCGAAAGGTAAGGTTATTAAATCTGACAATTTGCATATATACATCAAAGAAATTATTCATACTTTTCAGTTTCACTGCTTGCTTTTAAATCCTATTTCAAAAATACCCCAAAGTTGACTAATAGATTAATTTTTGTTCAGGATTAATCTTAATCTATTTTGTTCCTATTTGTTTATTCACATTTCATAAATAATAACTTTAAGAAAATTGAAATTAAAAGTAGTTAATGAGGGGTGTGAATAGGGAATTTGGATTGTAGCATCATCCTAATTTCATCCATCATGTCAAAAAGGAATTGATAGAAGCTTGTTTCAATTTACAAGGAAGAGGGAAATGGAAGCCCTGGATGTTTGTGTTGACTATATGTGGGTCAATTTTGACATTAGCAGTTCTTATTGGGCTGTGCACTGTTTGCTTCTGGCGAAAAAAGGATAGAGACAGAGGTGAACTTCTATAATTGTAATTCATTTTCACAAAATCCATATAAGAACTGCAACCCTCAGTTCTCTTTTATTTCTTTGCATTTTTTGTCTTTAAATATAAAATTAAACAGGTGAAGAAAAAAGCGAAATGACTCTATTACAAGAGTTAGCTAGCCCCAAGAAAGTAGAAATTACACAAGAAGGTGACTTGATTAGTTCAGATGAACTGTTGTTCATGAAGTTAGCAACAGTTAAGGCCGCTACTGATGACTTTTCTGATACAAATAAGCTGGGTCAAGGAGGGTTTGGTGCGGTGTACAAGGTAATATAATCCACTAGAGCTCTTTTAGTAGCAGTTCTGTCATTATGTTTGATTTTGGAATTCAAATTGCCAGGGTGTTCTGCCAGATGGTAATGAAATAGCAGTTAAAAGATTATCAAGAAAGTCTTGGCAAGGAATAGAGGAATTCAAAAATGAGGTCAAACTAATTGCCAAACTTCAACATAGGAATTTGGTGAGGCTAGTGGGCTGTGTCTTAGAGGGAGAGGAAAAGCTACTCATATATGAATTCATGTCAAACAAAAGCCTTGATCAATTTATCTTTGGTTTGTTCAGATTCTTACTTTTTCATAAACCTTCCACATGTATCGTTGATTGGTTTTACACAAGATAACATTCAATTGACTCTTGTTCTTTATTACTCAAGTTCCAGAAAAACGTTCCAAACTTGATTGGAAGACATGCTATGGCATTATCAATGGCGTAGCCAGAGGCCTACTTTATCTTCACGAGGAGTCTCGGCTTAAAATCATTCACAGAGACCTAAAACCAAACAATGTGCTGTTGGACCATGAACTAGTTGCTAAAATATCAGATTTTGGTATGGCCAGGATATTTTCTGAGAATCAGAATGCAGCAAACACGAAAAGAGTTGTGGGAACATAGTAAGGCAAAATTTTCACCCTTGTTTAATTTTCTGTTATTGCCATAATATTCATGAACTGAACTAATGAACCCATACATGATGCTGATGTACAAAATAGTGGATATATGGCTCCAGAGTATGCAATGGAGGGTTTGTTCTCCGTTAAATCTGATGTCTTCAGCTTTGGTGTGATCTTGCTCGAAATCATCAGCGGTAAAAGAAATAGCGGCTTTTACATAACTGAAATTGCCCCGACACTGCTGGCATATGTAATTTCATTAATCAAAGAGTTGATTTAGTTGTTAGTAAATCCTTAATTGTAGGGGAAGAAAATATATAATTCTTTTAAATTCAAACTATGACAGGCATGGCGGCTGTGGAATGAAGGGAAAGAATTGGAATTTGTGGATCCTGTGTTATTGGAATCATGTCTTTCCTACGAAGTTCTGAGGTGCATGCACATTGGGCTCCTGTGCGTGCAGGAAGATCCTGAACTCAGGCCCACCATGTCAGATGTTGTGGTTCTCCTAGGAAGTGAATCAATGGCTCTTCCCCAACCAAGACAACCAGCATTTTCTTTGGGTAGGGTGCTTCATGTCGATCCATCTATGCCAACAAATCCTTCCATTAATGAGATTATTTTGTCTAGTATTTTACCACGATGATATAACATTTTGTCACAACCTAGGGGTGCTACAATGTATTATTGACAGTACAGTAGCATAGAAATTGGGGCATGTTTTATGAACTGTGTATACTTGTATACTCTAGGCATATATGTATAATTGTTACATGAGATTTTCCGCTTGTACATAGAATTTTTAGGAGCTTGTTTTGTATCTTTTTTACATATATCAACAACAGTACGGAGACTTGAAGACATCCAGATCCGTACACGCGTTCACTTTAATCTTAATAACTCACGGTTCTCCATCTGACATGTTAGACTTTTCTTCTTTTCTTTTCTTTTGTATTTTGTTTAAGGGTTTTATAAGAGTTATGTTGTAGGAAAAGTGATCGTGTAACGTTATAGAGATTCGTTTTGCGTGTCTTAATCTTTTATTTATTTTTTTGTTTTAAAAAGTGTGGGCCCCACAAAATATTGTGAGGTAGGAAAGTTTGTTATGTCATGTTAAAGGATAAAACCAAAACCTTTCTTTAAAACATTTTCGAGTTTCCAATACGTTATAATCGAAATAACTCAACCGAGAAAATAAAACAAACAAACAAATAGAAGCTTGACTTACTTTATTGACTTCCGTCAAATGATGGCCATAAAAACCGACATAGGATTGCACAAAATATAACCAGCAATCCCATGAACCTGGTTATGAACATATCCTCCATGGCTGCTTCGTTGAAGCTTGTGTTGCTATTTATCATTCTTAGCTTCCTCAACCTTGGTACTGGTAAAGCACAGGAATTGGATTCCCCTGTGTATCTTTACCAAAACTGCTCAACCAACACCACCGGCAACAGTGCCTACCAACTGGACCTGAGGACCCTTCTCGGTTCCTTATCTTCCAACGCCACTGGCACCACCAAATTCTACAACACCACCGTCGCCGGAAGATCCCCCTCCGACACGGTGTTTGGACTTTTCATGTGCAGGGGTGATGTGCCCTCTCAGTTGTGTCGGCAATGCGTGGTGAACGCAACGCAGCGACTGCGCTCACAGTGCTCACGGTCCAAAAGGGCAGTGATATGGTACGATGAGTGCATGGTTCGTTTTTCCAACAGGTCTTTCTTCTCCACTGTGGACACAAGGCCTCGACTTGGCCTTCTCAACACTGCCAACATCTCCAACCAGGAAAGCTTCATGCATTTACTGTTTCAAACAATAAACCAAACTGCTGATGAGGCTGCAAGTTTTTCTATTGGTGTCAAGAATTATGCCACGAACAAAGCAAACATATCTGGGTTTCAGTCCCTCTATTGTATGGCTCAGTGCACACCAGATTTGTCACCCCAAGATTGTAGAAGTTGTCTCAGTGGTGTGATAGGGGACCTTCCATGGTGTTGTCAAGGAAAACAGGGAGGAAGGGTTCTCTATCCCAGCTGTAATGTCAGATATGAGCTCTACCCTTTCTATCGCACAATTACTCCTAATACTACAATTTCTCCAAATTCTACAATTCCTCCAAATTCGGGAGGTATAGTTTCAAAATATATTTGCTTTCGCCTTATATCTTCACTCTTATAATTAACATCTCCAAAAGAAGAATATGGGGGAATGGAATTTTACAATATCTTCACTCCAATGAAAAAAAGAAATCTTTTTTCTTTTCTTTTTTTATGTTTTGGAACTGTAGGAGGAGGAAGCAGTGGGATTTCAGCTGGGACAATTGTTGCAATTGTGGTTCCAATCGTAGTAGCTGTGCTTCTATTTATCGTGGGAATTTGTTTCTTAAGTAAAAGAGCAAGGAAGAAGAATGATTCTGCACAAGGAAAGAGTAAGGATCCACGCGAGTGAATCGGAAAGATATTAACTCTTTTTGTTCATAGTTGCGCACTCTTCTCTGGTAATTTTATCTTACACGTTTGATTTGGCCTCTTAGCTGCATATGACATCACCGATGTGGAGTCCTTGCAATTCGATTTCGGCACAATTGAAGCAGCCACGAACAAATTCTCTGCAGATAACAAGTTGGGTGAAGGTGGATTTGGTACGGTTTACAAGGTATGGTACTAAGATAGTTTGTGCCTTTTGTTTCTTATCTTTGTAAGAAGCAAATTACAAGGTATGGTACTAATTTTGTGTGGAAAATTCAGGGCACTCTTCCAAGCGGACAAGAAATTGCTGTCAAGAGACTCTCCAAAAGCTCCGGGCAAGGTGCAGAAGAATTTAAGAATGAAGTAGTGGTGGTTGCCAAGCTTCAACACAGAAATTTAGTGAGGCTTCTGGGATTTTGCTTGCAGGGAGAAGAAAAGATACTTGTTTATGAATATGTGCCCAACAAAAGTCTGGACTATATTCTTTTTGGTAGGATCATCTTATCTGAATTCTGTTCAGTGTACAATTTACATATACCTGCTTTGAATCTATTTTTTCAGTTTTTGCCCTATTCAGTGTATATGTTACCAAATTAGAGAAAGCTATGCATTTTAAAGCAATTGAGTATTCATTGGCCTAATAATAACCAAGATGAAATCATATTTGACATTTTTGGTATGACTTGAATATTTTGTTCAATGTGTAGATCCTGAAAAGCAAAGGGAGTTGGATTGGACAAGACGGTACAAGATTATTGCAGGGATTGCTCGAGGCATTCAATATCTTCATGAAGATTCTAGGCTTAGAATTATACATCGTGATCTTAAAGCTAGCAACATATTGTTAGATGGAGATATGATTCCGAAAATCTCAGATTTTGGCATGGCAAGAATATTTGGAGTTGATCAAACTCAAGGAAACACCAGCAGAATTGTAGGGACTTAGTAAGTACAAATTTCATATATTTCTTGGAGCATCCATGTTTGTGAAAGCGCTGGTTTTAGTTTCTAACAATCTAACAAGCAGAAACACTTTTTTAATCAAACAAATTTTAAAAAGCGTTTTCAATCTATGTTACAGTGGTTACATGGCTCCAGAGTATGCAATGCATGGAGAGTTCTCTGTTAAGTCTGATGTATACAGTTTTGGAGTCCTCATTCTGGAGATTATTAGTGGCAAGAAGAATAGCTCTTTCTATCAAACAGACGGTGCTGAGGATCTATTGAGCTATGTGAGTATTGCAAATATTTAGCTTCCTTGGGTTATTTCAACCAAAACTTGTTCTTCTAATGAAAAGGAAAAATATATGGTGCTCACTGCTCACACCTTAACAAATACTTAATGAAATTTTTATGTAGACTTGGCAACTTTGGAAGGATGGAAAACCCTTGGAACTGATGGACCCCATATTAAGAGAATCCTGTAATCCAAATGAAGTTATCAGAAGCATCCACATTGGTTTGCTCTGTGTCCAAGAAGACCCAGCTGACAGACCTACAATGGCAAGAATAGTTCTTATGCTAGAGAGTGACACTGTTACTCTACCAACACCTAAGCAGCCTGCATTTTTCCCCCAGAGTGGAACTGATCCAAACATGCCAAAGGAACTGCAATTTGATCAATCTACAACAAAGTCAATACCAATTTCTGTGAATGAGATGTCGATTAGTGAAATGGATCCTCGATAAGCTTGATTGCTTGAACACTGGAGGTTTGAATAGATGAAGAATCTTTGCCTGTGTAGTTATGAGTCATAGTTTAATATGACCGTATTTCGAAATATTGGAATATTATGTATTGTAGTTGCTTATTTTTCAATGTGAAATAATATATGCTGGCCATTTAGGCCATATATTGTATTTAAGACTACGAGGACTTATTGTCTATCTAGCACCGACACAACATGATATTTCGATATGTCATTTCTAAAAAAATATAAATTTTGATACGTTGAGACATATTTTATTAGTAAATAATATTTTTAATTTATATAGTGTATATTTAATTTAATATTCAATAATTTAACAAAAAAATGAAACTAACTTGATAATATCCATCAACATGTTATTTTCCAACTTTCCTTTTCAAACCAAAATCACATAAAGAAAAATTGGTTCAGATTCGGAATCCAAGTGTTACATAAAGGGAGAAAAAAACACAAATCTAATGTAACCAATGGCAACAATAGCAAAAAATTCACCAACACCCAATACCAAGAATCATAGCAACCTTCTTCACAAAAGGAATCATATCTAAAATTATTTACTGAATACACTGCAGAATAAAAGAACATCACGAACGCAATCAAACATTATAAAGGTGAAAGCTTTAATAAAAAAAAAAAAAAGAACTAGATGAGAGATCATATCAAAGAGAGACAGAGATCAGATTAGAGAGAGATCAGCGAGAAGGAGACACAGCAAAAGCTTAACAGGAATTACAATGACGATGCTGAGATGATCTATTACCTACTTAAGGGGAAAAGGGGGGTTGATCTGATTGTGTGGCAGCTTTATTAATATATTTTAATTTTTTTTTAAAAATAAAAATATAATATTTTTAAGAAAATTTCATTTGACCGTGTGTCGAACACAGTTAAATTCGAGTGTCAAAATGGTCAACGTGTCGATAATGTCAATCGCGTGTCGAACACTGTCTCAGAATATGTTGGAGCTGTAGGAAATCTTAGATTTATGCGGAAGCGGTTTAGGACCTAGTACATTGGTATGCTTACCGAATCATCCTTGTTTCACAATTACCTCTCGGTGCGCAAGTCTCGTGTAGAATCTTTCCTTGTAGGATTTCTCTCTCGGTGCGCAAGTCTCGTGTAGAATCTTCCCTTGTAGGATTTCTCCTCACGAACAGCTCACCTCAGCACCGTAGCACGAACAACCTCCTTGAAGCTGGACTGTGGCAGATCTTCCAAACTATCTCTCGAGGAGGATGAGATGGTTGTGTGGGCAACTGTTCAGAGTATGTTGGAGCATGTCAACGTATCAGAGCATGTCGGACACGACACTCCCTGTTTTTTTGGAGTGTCCATGCTTCGTAGCTTATTGTTATCTCTCCCCAAAATGTAAAATGTATATATTTGAGAGCAAGTTTGAATATGAAGTGTGATTTCGCTGTCCGCTAATAAGGATTACTCTGCCAATATATCTTTCTTTTATTGAAAAGTAGGGATCATGATAAAGATTTTTTTTTTTGTTCTAAAATTTTTCAAGTTATGATCTTGTCAACCAATAAACATCGTATTTGAAACTATGTTAGCGTCCAAAATATATCGCTTTGCAAGTTGCATTAGCAACACATCTTGCCATGTAAATAGTAAGGATTCTGCACCTTACATAAACAATCCATATTAAGTAGTAGTTTTGACACTAGAAGTTTATTTGGTCCTGAATCTAGAAGGATTTGAAAAGTTTCCATACCCACCCAAGAAAAACAAGCACGCAAGCGGCGTTTATCCTCCGTTAGTACTCCCAATGAAGATAAGGGGACGAAGATCTTTCCATAGCGAGAAGGAAATCCACACATTCGTTGATCATGCAATGCAACAGCAGAGTACTGGTCTGCTCTAGTGACATCGACACTTGAGCCATCAAAGTTGACTCTAAAATAACTAGTGACTACCAATCAGTCTCTAGCTAACAGATAAAGAAAGATATTTATTCAGTTTTTGCTGGACTTTAGGGGAAGTCTGAATCATTATTTTCCACAAAGCCGCACTGTCATTTGCCCCAATCTTGTGCTCCACCAATTATTAAGAAATAAAAATGGTTGAAAGTTACCTTAGTTAGTGCGTTTGTTCAATGTCCCTACAGCATGCCTAACCCACTTGTTCAATGTCCATATATCATGTCTTAAAGGAGGATTAAAAAAAAAAAAAAAAAGGACACAAAAACTGAAAACAATTGGTGAGTTGCAAAAATGAACAATCCATTCCAAACCTGTCTACCAAGAGAGTTCACCCCAATGCCTACTTCCAAGTACTCTGTAATTTCTACTGTTTTTCTGTCTGCGTTAATCTTTCTAGTCTTTCTAAGCGAAGCAGCTCCAATTTACAGTGATCATTACTGTACAAAATCTATCACTTACCAACCAAACACAACATTTCAAACAAATCTTAATCACCTCATATCATCTCTTTCCTCCAAGGCCAGTGAAGGCAACCATTTCTACAGAACAAAAGTTGGCAGTGATGCCCCTAACATGGTCAACGGCCTCTTTCTCTGCCGGGGTGACATCCTCACCAGCACCTGCCATGAATGTGTGAGCACCGCAGCCAGAGAGATAAAACGCCGTTGCTCGAGTGAGAAAGAAGCAATAATCTGGTTCGACGTGTGCATGTTGCGCTACTCTAACCAATATCTCAACAACATAGTTCCTTCAGTGAGCCTGTTGAATTCAAAGAACATATCTCGTGCTGATTTGGACAGGTTCAATGAATTGCTGGCTGGCATGTTGAATGCTCTGGCAACTAAAGCTGAGAATTCCCTGAGCGACAAGTTTGCAACAGAGGAATTGAACTTCACGAGCACAGTGACCCTTTACGGATTAGTGCAGTGTACGCCTGATTTGACAGTGTTTGAGTGCAACATGTGCTTCAGAAGCGCCATAGCATCAATCCCCAATTGCTGCAATGGAAAACAAGGAGCAAGGGTGCTGCTTCCGGGTTGCAATATTAGATATGAACTCTACCCTTTTTATAATACTACATCACCGGTCGTTCAATCTCGTTCTTCAGGTAACCTTCTAAGTATTCGATTGTACTATGTTCGTGGTTGGACCAACTACTAATTTGATTTTTGACAACTGATATTGGTGCAGGAAGGAAGCATGTTTCAATAATTATATCATTTGTCATTCCGATTGTTGCTTTAGTGGTGCTTTTCATTTTATGCTCTTTTGTGGAAAAGAAGGCAAGAAAAAGGATACAGTTGTGGAAGAAATCGGTAATTAAGATGTGCTCTTACACTTTCGATCATTGTGAATGATTATTTATTAGGCTTGATATGCAAGATGCTAACTCTTTTTTTTTTTTTTTTTTTGTAGAAAATGGAATTTTCCAAAGATATAGAAGAAAGTGATACAGGAAAGAGTTCAAGAAATTATAGTCGAGGTAATGAGAATGCTCAGAAGTAAATTATTTGGAGTTGGGACAACAGTATCACTAAAATTCGAGACTTATTTGATTTTATAAGCTTGATTTGGAAGGTTGTAATTAATCCAAATAGCTTTGAAAACTTAGGATTCAAGAGTTAAGGAAATCTCTAACGAAATGTTCAGATGCATCCATGTTTGGATTATTGTGCTTAGAAAGATACTGCCATTGAATTAGTGGGCTCAGCGCTCTGGTTCACTTGGTGTTGCTTGCCAATGTCTGCTTATAGGTGGCGAGTGGTGAGATAGGAGTAGGACTAGCCATAAATTCTTAGTGAGTTTGAGTAAAACATTTTTTTTTTTTACTTTGTATTTCATATGGGTATTATTTCAATTATAATATTAAAGATATATTTAAAGTTAAAAGCAGATAATTCACAATATATATTTAATAATGAAAAATACATATTTCAAAAATTTCTGATGAAGTAGCAGCCGCAGCCCACTATGTCTAAAAGTTCGAATTTAAATTGATTGTACTTTTTTTTTTTTTTTGATAACAAAATTGATTGTACTTTTGTTTATTGAAAAGGTTGTAGATGTTTGTAAGTTATGAGTTATAGAACTTTAATGATGAATTTTAGTACAAAAGTGGGTTCAAAGTAAAAAGTACCAGATATTTGAGTACTAGGAAATGTTGTACTGGGCTGCGCCGGATATTTTATGTTGTACTAGCAAAAGCCCAGATATCTTAGTAGTGAGCTGGGTCGGGTTTTTACTTTCCTGACTCAAGCTTACGTCAAAAAAAATTCAGTCTATTTGGTCTATTAAAGGCTTTATTTGTAAGTCAAGCTCGACCCATTTTTAAAAATAAGAAAGTCTGACATGACCTACAGGCCTTGTAGGCCTCTCACTCTGTTGAATTTGGTGATTTTCGTATTTTTCTCATAACGAAGCTAATGCTATGTCAAAGAAGTCATGTGTAGCAACTGGCAAAGCAGAAATTACATAGGATGTTAAACATCAATTCGTGAAGGAACTGTTACAATTAAAATAGTTGAAAGCTAAGAGAGAGATTATGTAGCTGAAATGAAATCTTTTCTATAATTTGCCTCAATTATTATTTTTTTCCTCTTGGGTTTTTGGTACAAAGTTTAGGAGTGAATGTTATGTGTGATTTATTATTACCTACAAGAATCGAACCAATATTCATAATATTCAATTTTACGAGGAGCAAACTTCATTCACAATATCGATTTTAATTTATTTTAATAAATTAAATAGGTCAGTCTACAAGACTGTAGGCCGAGCTTGACAAAATTGATCTATAGCTTATTTGTTAAAAAAACTTTTTTATAAATCTAAATCTACTCTATTTTTCTAAAAGACCGAACCTGAGCTGAACACAATCTAACCCGGCCTATTTACACCCCCGCTAATTGCTAAACTCATTCACTGATATACGCAGGCCATATATAAATCATCCCAGGTAAAACGTACCTTCAAATCTGCATTGCTGCCTTTTGCTGAGTGAAAGACGATCCTTTAAGTGATAATATACTATTATTTCAAAAATAAAATATCAATAACTGTCAATATTAAATGTTAAACAAATATATACATATAACAAAAAAAAATCCCAAGAGGATCGAACTCTAAACCATTAAACCATAGTGGTATTCTAATATTTTATCCAAAAATAAAATAGTATCATCTAAGATTATTAGGTGATGACAAATTAATAATTTTATATATTATATCTTATTATATGTAGCTTCCAATGCATCTATTTTAATTGTGTCCAGAAAGCAAAATAGATCAATAGACAAAAATTATTACTTTAAGTAATACTCCATTTGTGTTACATCTATTGATCGTAATGATAAAACTGTCTTTTTAATTAGAAAGTTGTCATTCAAATAATAAGCAATTTAGAATTTTATCATAAGCATAGTTATTAAAATTTCGATTTATCATTACGATTTTATCATTTTATGATTTTTTTTATCAAAATGATTTTACCAATATTCTAAATGTTTTTACGATTATTTAAGATTTTTTTACATTATGATTTTATGTGTTACGATTTTTTAGCCCCTTTTCAATTTTATTTAAAATCTCAATTTTAACTATCTTGATCAGAAAAGTTTTGTAGAAAAGAAGGAACACCATCAATATCTAGACAAAAATAAATTTCACACAGAAAAAGTATAGAAATTATAATAAACAATAATTGCACCGTTTTCTTTTCTTTAAATTTCTATACAACCAAATGAACTTGAATGTAAAATAAAGTCGTGTGCTCTGATATAAATTATGACAAAAGTATGTCATTTATGGGACCCATACTTGAATGTAAAATAATTTGTGTTATTTCACATTTTTATTTTATTTTTGTTCACTCTCTTTCCTACATAATTTATCTCTCTCATATTTAAAATTACATAATTTTACATCCTTTAAAATAATAAAGATTGTTTACATAAATTATTTAGCCACAAAAATTGACCTGGGGACCGTTACTTCGTTCTTATTTCCAAGAACTATTCCATTGCTTCTTTCTCTACCGGTACCCCTAGTTTCTACCTTAGTATTTGACCATCTACGATTCTATGTTCACTTTGCACGTGATCCATGTCATGGAAACTTGGAACTGAAACAGAACAAGAAGAAACTTTCCTTTACAAAAGTTGCTTCGTTGAGGCACAGTGCCTCTCGTATATACAATGGAGCCAATTTATTCATTGAGGTTGGATCAATAAAAATTTAAGTGGGGTTAGTATTAATTTTTTTTTCAGAAACTTAGGGACAATTATTTAGTCATTTTTAATGTGACTAATTTTTAAAAACAAGTCCAGGCCAAAGGCTCCTAGACCCCCACCCGCAACGTGGCTCTGTCATTGCATATATATATATATATATATATATATATATATATATATATATATATTAAGTGTGTGTTGTTGCATGACACACTTTGGATTTGCTGTTGACACAGTATTGTGTGGGACCCACTACTATAATTAAAAAAAAGAAAAAATGACTATCACATTTTTCTATGGATTAGTAGGATATAGGTTTATGTTTCCTGCAACATAACAGTTATGGTTGTTCATGGAGCGATTCATAACCAATTTTGACAAAAATCGAATCGAACCGGTTTTAAAAGGTTTGGTTTTCAAACTATTATATTTAAGTTTGGTTTTGCTCCTTAAAAAATATTATTTATAATAATTTATAATTAATTTATATAATTTTGAAGTGTTATTTGTGGTAATTTATGATTGAATTATATATTTTAGAGTGTTGTATATAATAATTTTGTGATTAATTTATATATTTTGAAGTGTTGTATGTAATAATTTTGTCATTGATTTACATATTATTATTATTGAAATTTTATTTACAGTTTTACATAAGAGATAATTAAAGAATTGTTTTGTTCAAAAATTAAAACTAAGCTTTTAGAAACAAAAATGTTTAAGACATATTAATGGAATTTAAAAAAGAAAAAATATTGTTTACCAAAAAAAATAAAAAATGGTTACAAGTATACCAGTGGAATACCAGAAGAGAGAGTGTGTGAAAGGTAGGGGTGTCAATATGGGTTGACACGACACGAATTCGACACGACACGAATTCGACACGACACGAATACATCAACACGAACACGACACGAATTTTCATTCGTGTCAAAATCTTCAACACTGACACGACACGAATTTTTTGCGGGTTGACACGACACGACACGAATAACACGCAAAATAGGGGACAAAACGGTAATTGACAAAAAAAATTAAAAAAATAGGTCGAAAATAAATAAAAAATTAAAAAATAATAATAAAAAAATAATAATTAAAAATAATACGGGTCGACACGAACACGAATTCATAAACACGAACACGACACGAATTTTTTGCGTGTCATTTTTTTCAACACGAACACGACACAAATTTTTTGACGGGTCAACCCGAACACGAATTTTCGTGTCGTGTCGCGGGTTGACCCGCGTGTCAAAACCCATATTGACACCCCTAGTGAAAGGAAAGACATGACGTGTTTGTGTGCCAAATCAATGGAGTGTCCAAACTGGAATTGTGGGACCATTCTAACATCCAAATTATGATCAGTTTGGATCAGTTAATTAGGATATCCAAACTGTTTTCAACAAATCAAAACTGAACCATATCCGAAATATAAAATCCAGTTTGGTTTTAAAAACTTTTTTAATAAACCAGTTTTTATGGAGCAGTTTGAATTAGATTTCAAAGTGGTTTGGTTATTTTGGATTTTTTGCACATCCCTAATAACAGTTGCATTTCACACACACACATATATATAGGGCTCATGAGTGTCATGCGACAGAGACAGCACATGTGGGCATCACTGATTTTTAAAAAAGAAAAGAAAAAATAATGCACGAGTTTTGATCAGTCTGCGGGACAAAAATTCCAACTCGTGCAATGTTATACTTGTTTTTCGCTATATATATGGGACAAGATCATTTGACACCAAATCGTAACCGTTGATTTTTGTCAATCTAACAGTTATAATTTATTGGAAATTAATAATTAATTAATAAGTATGACAAATAAATTATAACCATTATATTTACGAAAATCAACAGTTAAGATTCGGTGTCAAACGTTTTAGTTTGATAACGGTATCAAAGGATCATGCCCTTATATATATATATATATATATATATATATATATATATATATATATATATATATATATATATATATATGGAAATTATTATATATTAAAATAGGGTATATATTTTTCTAGAGTAACTTAATTTTTAATTTATTTATTTTTTAAAACGATACAAAATTTGTCATCACCCCTACCTTTATTAGTGACGGTTTGATAGGGGAGTGATTTGTATTATGGCTACATAGGCCCATTATTATGGTCCAACCGTCTAAGGCCCATTAAGGGTCCAACTTAGTGACATCTCATAGGTAAGCTCATGGACCTCACCTTAGGGGATCCCCTTCTCCTGTACACGGCCTACCATCGTACGGCACGATGGTAAGGAAGCACTTTATTGCAAATGTGAGTATTTGGCTAATGATTTTTGACTTTTTGGCTCAGTTTTCTCTTTATATAAACTTCTCTTCTCCTGTCAAAGAAATACTTTGTCAGATTTTAGAGCCATTGTAGCCTATACACACACCTCATTCATAGCATACTCTATGACTGCATTCACTGTAACTCCCCAATATCTCTCTCTTCTTGAGCATTCATACATCGAGATACTACACTCCTTCAATGATATAAACCTAGCTCACGTTCCACTACAGCTCAGTTTGGTTTGATCAATATCGTTGTTGGTGTTTTTTTTAAATTTAAAAATATTTTTTCAAATTAATTATATTTATATATAATATTTTAAACCATTTTCTCTTTTAATTTTTTTTATACAAGTGAGAATTGAACATATAACCTAATACAACCTACCCAAATTCCTACCACTAGACTAATCCTAATGGCTTTTTAATTTACTTTTTAAAAATTTAACTAAATAATTATAAAGGTCGGTTATATTGTCTACCATTTTAATCTTTTACTCCTACTAATTTTTTTTGCACATTCAATTAGTTGAATCAACATTCTAAACACCTCAAAATTAAACATAAAACACATAAAAAGTGCATTTATCTCGGTTCGTCAATATGTGAGTTCGGGTTCCAACTTTGGGATCCAATCAATAAGAAGGTGGTGAGAAGTCGATATGTGATATTTCATGAGAACGGGACTATTCAAGACATCTCGAAGCCCAAAGTTTGGGTTACTGTTAGACATGAAGAACTCATCCCTCCTGTCCGAGCTGAAGCGGGGGAGAAAATTAAGAGAATAAAGAAAATAATGAGATTAACAAAAGGTAATAAAAATTGAGGTCCTGAGAACCAAGATCCTGAGATCCGAGATGAGAATGAAGAGCCGAATTATCAGCCTAATGAACAACCCAAACACTCTACTCGAGTGAGATGACCTTCTACAAGGTACCCACCTGATGAATACACTGTTGTTGCTGAAGATGGTGAACCTCAAATCTATGATGAGGTTGTGGTTGAGCTCAGATAAGGAGGAACGGGAAAAGGAAATGCAAGACGAGATGAAGTCTCTGCACGAAAATCAGACTTATGAGCTAACCGAGCTTCTAGAAGGAAGACAAGCTCTGAAAAATAAGTGAGTTTACAAAATCAAGAATGAAGAGAACGACCAGAAGCTGAGATACAAAGCCCAAATTGTGGTAAATTATGGTGAAAGGCTGCAATCAGAAGAAATGAGTTGAATTGCGGAGATATTCTCTCCTATGGGGAAAATGACTTTGGTCCGAACCGTGTTAGCCATGGCAACTTCGATGGACCTTGAAGTAGAGCAAATGGATGTGAAGACAACATTTCTTCACGTGACCTAAAAGAAGAATTTTATATGGAGCAACCTGAAGGGTTCTGAGCTCCATAACAAGAAAGTTTGGTATGTCGGTTGAAGAAAAGTCTATACAATTTGAAGCAAGCACCTCGGCAGTGGTACAAAAAATTTGAATTCTTCATGACTGATCACAAGTTTATGAAAACAGAAGACGACCACTGCGTAATTTGTGAAGAGGTATAAGACTGGAGATTTTCTAATTTTGTTCTTATATGTTAACAATATGCTGATCGTAGGGTAAGACAAGATAAGGATAGCTGCCTTGAAGAAGACGTTAAGCTCGTCCTTCGCGATGAAGGAACTCGGTTCTGCAATGCAGATACTCGGCTCTGCAATGCAGATACTCAAAATCAAGATTATCCAAGATAGACAAAAGAAGCTATTGTGGCTGAGTCAAGAAAAATACATTGAGAATATTCTGAAGAGATTCAGCATGGACAAAGCCAAAACAGTGAGCACCCCCTTAGCCGGAGATATTAAGCTGAACCAGAAATAATGTCCAAGATCTGATGAAGATAAAGATGAGATGTTGAAGATCCAGTACCAATCCGCTATCGAAAGCTTGGAGTATGCAATGATTTGCACGAGACTCGACTTGGCATATGTTGTTGGAATAGTAAGCTAGTATCTGCCAAACCCCGAAAAAGAACACTGGGAAGCATTGAAGTGGATTTTCAAGTATCTCAGAAGAATAACAAAATTGTGCCTCCGATTTGGAGAAGGTAAAGTCGAGTTGCAAGGCTGTACGAATGTTGACTTAGGGGGAGATTTCGGCTCGAGAAAGTCGACAACGGGATATATGATGACTTTTGCAGTAGGAGCTATCTCCCGGCAATCAAAACTACAGAAATGTGTGGCACTTTCAACAATCGAGGCCGAGTATATAGTCGCGACTGAGGCAGGCAAATAAATGTTGTGGTTGAAGAAGTTTCTCTCTGAACTCGGGCATGATCAAGACAAGAACGAGCTGGAATGTGACAATCAAAGCGCCTTTCATCTTGCGAAGAATTTGACCTATCACTCCCACACTAAGCAAACTGATGTGAGGTATCACAGGATCCGGGATGTGGTGGAAGGTGAAGAGCTCGAACTTGTCAAAGTGCACACCGACCTGAATTGGTCCGACATGATGACGAAGCCGGTACCAACAAGGAAATTTGAAGACTGGTGTGAAGGTGTCTGGTTACTGCTGATGTTGATGCATTGAAGTCGGAAGGGGAAGATTTGCTGGACTTCCTCCTTAATGCTAAGCCCAAAGCCCATTGAGGGGTTTGAAAACCCTAAACCTTCTTCTTTCCCCTATAAATACATTAGTTGTGGGATTGAGGTAGGTTAGAAGAAGATAAAGAGAAGAAAAAGGTTGACTTGTGAGATTTGAGGGTTTTGAGTGAAAAGCTAAAAGCTTTGATTTTGTGAACACCTCTAGGGAGAAGCTTGAGTGTTATAACTCCTTAGGGAAGTTTGAAAGAAAACCACCATTGTAGGTGAAGTTTGAGTGTACCACTATTGTTGGTGAAACTTGATTCTTGTAACCCATTATTTTCATAATGGAAGTTTGATTCTGGATTAATGTTTCGTGGATTTTTACTTCTTCACATTGGAGAAGGTTTTCTCATGTTAAAATCTATTGTGTTCTTCTCTCTCTTCTCTGTGTTTTCCAATTCCCCACTGCGTTAGCCGACCTGATAATTCAGACTGACTTCTTTGACTCAGCCGAGTTCCTAGATCAACGTTTGACTTTCGCAAAATTTCTTAGCTAAATTGTGGGAACCGAGTTCCCAACATTTAATCACTGGATATAGGAAGAGACAATCAAACAAGAGTTTATAAAGAAAAGAATAAAGTCCATTTTCAGTCCCTAACAAAAAATACAGTCCCCACTTTCGTCCTTTACAAAAAAAAAAAATCAATCTTTAGTTCCTCTACAATTTCAATTCTTTGAAAATATGATCCTTCGTAAATCAATGAAGATATAATTTAGTCCCTAATGCAGTATTTATAGAGGGGATAGGATATTTATATTACTAAATTTCTGCGATGTATTCTTCTTAATTTTTTACACTACAGTGAAGTCAAACCTGGCGATGACCTGTTTTTTCTTTTGGTTGTTGTATGCGTATCTGTCAGAGTGAATCAGAAGTTTGTAACTAGAAGTTTTGACCTTTGATTAAGTAGGAGGAGGACACCTTTCTTCCTCATTATCTGTTTTGGCGATTTTCTAAGTTACTGTTCTGCAGGACATTTTCCTTGTCAGCACAACAGATATTCTTCGCCAGATGCATTAAAATAATATAATTAGTTTTTATTCTACAATTAATTAAAACCGCGTGAATTTTGTAGTTAATTTTGATGCGAAAATTGTTGGGGTTAGCCCGAGTACCGACTCTTAACATTAATCAATTAATATCCCTCTTTTATTAACTATCAGAAATCCCCTTCCTTGGATAATTCCTCCCGTGATCAAAACTCAGAAGCATATCAGGCGTAGAGTGTAGTTTTAAACTTCTATCATTCCGTCATCTCAGCCCTACCAAATCAAACCACAATTGCAATTGACTATAACATGCGGGGTCATAATGTAAATTTAGTAATTTCGAATGTTTAATTCAAAATTATTGCTGGTCAAAATTGGATTGATGGTGAAATATGAACTAGATTTCCTTCTAACCAATTTAATAATCACACGCTACGACCCATCTTTCTGCCATCACAGTTTGACTTTCATTTTCTTAAAACGGTTACTGACCCGTTGTTTAGTGTTTACACTCTTTATTTTTGTTTTCCTCTCCCATATAGCCAGAGTTGATAATATTAATAATTGTTGTGCTTATCAGCTTATGTCAAACATCAAATAGTTGATAATATTAATATAATTATTGCCGGGTCAAACCTGACTTCAGTCCCATCAGAAACTGTCAAAGACATGGCATATGCATCCTCCAACCACAATAATAGCAACCCTTTCTCCGTGAGAGAGAGAAATTGATCCAAAGATGGTTACCTCAAAACAATACTGGGCAACCTTTTACACACTTCTCCCCCTGTTTGGGATGCTAAGCTTGGCAACCCAATCATTTCCTACTTACGTTGGATCTTACTGTAACAACAATACCACATACGCACCTGACAGCAGACTAGGTAACAATCTGAATGTCCTACTCTATACTCTAACAACCAATGCCTCCCAACAACAGGACGGTTACTACATGACAATCATGGGCTTCGGAACCACTGATGCAGTCAACGGCCTGTTTCTCTGCCGCGGCGACCTCAACACCACCATGTGCCAACAGTGTGTCGCCACCGCCGCCAAAGAGATAACACGCCGCTGCACCAACCAAACCGAGGCCGTGATCTGGTACGAGGAGTGTTTATTGCGTTACACAAACAGGTACTTCAAGTACTACAGCATCGTCCCCGGATTGTACCTGCCGGATGGTAACAACGTATCTGCCGTTGACTTGCAACGGTTCAACCAATCATTGTTTAGTTTGTTCGATGAGTTGACAACGGAAGCGGCGAATTCCCCGTCTGCAAAGAAATTCGCCACCGGGGAAGTTGGAGTAACCAGCTCTCAGACGGTGTATGGGTTGGCGCAGTGCACCACAGACTTAACGAGTTCTCAGTGTGAGACGTGCTTACAAAGTGCCATTGGAACTCTTCCGGCGTGTTGCAGTGGACAACAAGGCGCAAGTGCTATGCTTTCGTCCTGTATTGTCAGATATGAACTGTACCCATTTTACAGTAAAACAGGGTTACCATCTTCATCTTCTTCAGGTAATGCACTGAACCTATTCATAAGCTCTTATTTTTATTCCCCGTTTTATGCCAGGCTCATCTTATATATAATTTGCAAGAGAATAGTATAAATTATTAAAATTGATTATTTATATGATATTAGAGGTTCCGTGATGTGTTCGATACTGGCAGTCACTCATCTTTTTTGTGGAATTTTTTATTACAAATAAGTTAGAGCTGATGCATCGTCCACTTTTCAAGTCCAATAAATCCTATCATAAGAAATATGTTAGAGAAATATATAAATTATTAATGCATCTTTATTTAATAACTTACTCTTTTTTTGAGTTGAATTGATTCTTTACCCAAACTATTTTGAATATACAAGTTTATTATACCTATACGTAACGAATGGCTCATGTAGACAGAGAAATCTCAGCCCTATAAAATACAAATCAACCATGATGGGAGAATATATTAAGATAAAATGATGATTTGAAAAGAACAACCGCTGATTTATATATTTACGGCTGAAATCCTCTCAGATATTCTCTAGAATCGATAAATATAATAGGTTATTATAGGCGGACTAACTAATCGAAGTTTAATATAAGTTTTAGTATTATTTTTTGGTTAGTTATCTAATTGACAGAGCCTCAACCTGAACTTACTTACCCCGAATATTGTTGTGCAGGGAAAAATAAACTTGGAACAAAAACAATTGTCATCATTGTTTTCGCGGTCTTCATTCCGGTAAAACTCTTACTTTTAGGCTGGTACTGCCTGCGGAGAAGATCCAAGACGAAACGTAGGACAATTCTAAAGGAAAATTGTACGTTATTTGAGGAAAATAATAATACAATCCCGTTTCATTTGCTTTTTCCGGTTAAATTATTAATTGGTGATTTTTTGCATGCTTACTTCAAAGAACTGTTTATTGGCTCAGTTGGGGATGAACTTAAAACTTTGGAGTCATTACAATTCAGTTTGGCTACAGTTGAAGCTGCGACAAACAAGTTTTCGCAGGAAAACAAAATAGGCAAAGGAGGATTTGGAGTTGTCTACAAGGTAAAGCAACTGAATAAAATGTATAATATATGCGAAAAATTATATTTACAAATTTTTTGTTTACAAACTCTTTACAACTTATATTATTTCTTATCGGTAAAATACTCTTGAATGAAGTCTTACTAATAAAACATAATGTAGTTTGTAAGTTTGAAAAAAAAAAAAAATTATCAATATAACCCTCTCGTAATATATATTTATGTTTGTTTTATGGCTAACCAATAAGTTATAATTTTAGGGTGTTTTTTTGGATGGACGACAAATAGCAGTGAAGAAACTCTCAAGAAGTTCAGGACAAGGTTCACATGAATTCAAAAATGAGATTTTATTAATAGCCAAACTTCAACACAGAAATTTGGTGACTTTATTAGGATTCTGCTTGGAAGATCAAGAAAAAATACTTATATATGAATATGTGCCTAACAAGAGCCTCGATTACTTTCTATTTGGTAAGAAACTTTTAGTCATACCCTCTACTTTGCATTGAATTTTAGTATGGAAAATGTTATATTTACAAACTATACTATGTCTGATCGGTAATACACTCTTGAAGAAAGTATTACCGGTCAGACATAATATAGTTTGTAAATTTGTAAAAAAAAAAGTTTGTCAATATAATCCTACTTTTTTAGTATACTTATTTTTGAAAATTGCACTTTCCTTTTCTTTTCTTTTTCTTTTTTTTTTAATTTCATTCAACTTACTTAGAAAGTTATTCCATAATTAGTTTTTTACCGAAATATTCCACCGTGAATTTGTAGATACCAAGAAGCAAAGAATATTACATTGGTTTGAGCGTTATAAAATCATAGGAGGAATTGCACGAGGAATTCTTTATCTACATGAACATTCACGACTTAAAGTCATACATCGAGATCTGAAACCTAGCAATGTGTTGTTAGATGACAATATGAATCCAAAAATATCAGATTTTGGCTTGGCAAAAATAGTTACAATAGATGAAGAACAAGGAAATACTAACAGAATTGTCGGAACATAGTAAGTAGTTATAAAAATCCTTATTACTCTTCTCATTCCATTCTTCAATTCTTTTGTTTCTTATAATTAGGTACAGATAAAATGTTTTTTTTTTCTAATATTTGGTGATTTTTTAATCATATAAATATCTGATGCACATGGTAGCACGAGCTTAATCATTATTGTTTCCTTTCTGTACTGTATTTAATTTAAAACAATTTTGCTTGAAGAAGCATCATATAGATGCTAACAATTATTGACCTCTCACTTAATTCTTCAGGTTGAATTTTTCACTTCACATCCAAGTTTAACTAACTAGCTAACTTCCATTATCAAAAATAAAATATTATGGGAATTAATGATTGTTAATTACCCGGCATACACAAAAAGACATCGTTGATTCAGTATTCAATGCACAGAATATACTTGTATTTTTAATGTCAATAAGGTTTTAATATCAATAATTTTTTTGTAGTGGTTATATGTCTCCAGAATATGCAATGCATGGCCAATTTTCTGAGAAGTCAGACGTATTTAGTTTTGGAGTCATAATTCTTGAGATAGTTAGTGCAAAGAGGAATGCTCGTCCTATTGAATCACACGATTTTGATGACCTCCTAAGCACTGTGAGTATTGAAATTTAGTATAATGTTTCCTTTTGTTGATGCTCGTATGTATAATCATCTCTTCTACTGAAAAAAAAAAAGTAACGATTCAAATACCTAATTTGTGAAATTTCAACAGGCTTGGAGACAATGGAGGAACCAAACACCCTTAGAAATATTGGACCCTAATCTAAAAGATTCATTTTCCCCCAGTGAAGTTATTAAGTGCATTCAAGTTGGTTTATTATGTGTCCAAGATAACCCAGATAATAGACCTACAATGGCAAAAATTGTTTCATATTTCGGCAGCCTTTTAGTTGAATTGCCAATTCCCGGAGAACCTGCATTTTCCATGGACAATGGAGCACCTGCCTCGAGTTCGGGTCAATCTACTAATTATTCTGCAGTATCCTCAATCAATGACATGTCTAAGAGTAATTTTTTTCCTCGATAGTTAGAGGTTGATCTTTTGTGAAATGATTATTTATCTATTTGTATTTAATAAATAAAGTTTCATGGCAAATCATTCGCTTCCAATGATGGAAATTTAGGAGGTGTATTGGATTAGGATTTTAAAATAGTTTTTTGAGATAAAAAATCCTACAAATTTTAAAAAACATTTTAGAATTGGAAAGACTTTAAAGATTTTTTTTACAATCAAGATTTCATAAGATTGGATTTTAAAGAATTTATAGGATTTGAAAGGACAATATGGATTTATAAGAATTTAAAAAACCATATGAATTTTTAACAAACATTCGAAATTACAAGAGTCAATACAAAAGGGAAATGTTATATTTACAACCTTTTTTTGTTTACAATATTTTACAACCATATTCTAAGCGGTGATTTCCGTCAATTAACGGTTATTATTCGTTGCAAATTAAATATTAATTAATGAGTTTGATTTGCAAAAGTAATAACTATTGATTGACGAAAATTAACGGCTGAGATATAATTGTAAAAGGTTGTAAACAAAAATAGGTTGTAAGTATAATCTTTCCCATAAAAAATAACAAAGAAATACAATGAAATTAATAAAAAGAGTATAACCTAATATAAATTTCTCAATCAGTAAAACATAATATAATCTTTAACAAACATTCAAAATTACTAAATAATAGCTTTTCACATATCTAATGGGTTGAAAATTATCTTCTTCATTTGGTATCAAAGCTATGCATATATGATTATAAGACCCAATTTTTTTTAATTATAAAAATAATTCTAATTTTGCATATAGAACCTAAAGTTCATGATAAAATTTTGTTTGGAATTTTTTGCAATTGACTTGAAAACCTCGGGGTTTTTAGAATTTTCTAACCATATGAATCTGAAATTTTGGGTTTAATTACATGAAAGTTTCGAAAATTTCTCAAATTTTTTCAATCGATATATTGAAACCTTAAATTGCTTTGGAGCTTTTAAGAAACAAGCTTTTAGTTATCTATTGACACAAAAATTGTTTGAAATTGTTTCCTATAGTGAAGGAATTTCGTTTGTGAATGTATTGTTACGAAATATAGGATTCATATTATGAAAGTTTCAATCTTTCTTTAAATTGATATTGTTTCATTGATATAAAACGAAAAATTATTTTGAGAGTTTTAGTGTCCCTGTTATTTTTCACTGTTTTATGTTGTTTTTAATACAAAAATCACACATTTTTGTGCCAAGAAAAAACGCGACCCATAGCTTGAAAAATCACTTTTTAAACTTTCAAAATTTCTCAAAAATGGCTCAAAAATATGTTATTTTTGAGATAGATTATATTAAAATCTCGTTGATTTGTTGTTTCTGGGTTGTTTTGTGATGAAAATCACTCAAAAATATGCTCCCTTTTTTTTTAGTTTTGACGAAGCTCCCATGGCGGAACCTAATTTTGAGCAGTCAACTTGCCAAAAGAAAAAAAAAACACTTCAATAGAAAAATCTCAAGAATTACTAAGGGTTTGGGTTAAATTGTGAGAGAGACATCTTATTTATATTTTTCACTAAAAAAGCCTCACGAAATTCAATCCAATAGAAAATCCATTAAAATCGTCGTATTTTTGAATATCACAAGATTGTGATTCCATTGTTTAAAATCCAGATTGAATACCAACGGATTTGGACGGATTCTAAAATAATCCTTTAAAATCCTAATCGAATACAACGTGACTTTTTTACCATCCATTAACATCCATTAAAATCCTAATCGAATACCAACGGATATTTTTGTCCAAAAATAATCTATTAAAATCTTTTGAAATCTCAGTCCAATACACTCCCTTAAACTAGTGCAAGTTTTGGTCGTTGCACTAGCTGTATCATAACTTTTGGAAGTATGTGCAGGTTATTTTATAGGGAATAAAGTTTTTAAAGTGAATTTAAAAAAATTTGTCTAATGCTCATCAAAATGTTATAGTTTTGGGGTTAAAAAATTAGAACAATAAAAAATATTATAATCTTAAAATAAATTAAAATTATAAATATATCTCAATTTTCTTCCTAAAATGACGTCATTTCAGTGAATATTAGATAGATTTTTCTAAAGTAACTTTAGAAAAAATTAACCCTATTTTATAAACCTGAATGCATTTGCTTCATAATTCTTTCAGATGCGATGCTGCATACTGTTAGTAATTTTGTTATAAAATATTGAAAAATATGCTAATTAATTAACTTGTATATACATGAAATTTTATCTAAAAAAATGCTATGGTTATAAATTGTGTACCCAAATCTCCTATGTTTGAAAGGGAAGGAAAGAAATTTTGACTTTTACATGAACATTTTATTTTCTCCCCTTGATCTAGACATTGAGAATTTTTTTTTGAAAATTTTGATTCCTCTCTTTTTTTTTTTTGATAACATGATTCCTCTCTTTTCCCCCATCTAATACAAATATAGTTTTTTCATAGGCTTTAATTTTTCTACAATGAATGTAGATAAGTTATCTACATTTGCTCTCAAAACGACGTCGTTTTGGGTTGAAAAGTTAAAAAATGGGGTTTGATTTTCTCATGTTGCATGAGAATTCAACTATCATGTTGTGACTCAATTAGCGATGGACCCTACATTTATTAAAAAAAAAAAAAATTACACGCAAATCGAAGGGTCACAACATGAGAATTGAATTCTTATGCAACATGAAAAAATATTTTCCCTTAAAAAATATAATGAAAAAGACTATTATAACCTTGAAATAAATTATAATTACAAAAATACTTTAATTTTTGTCTCAAAATAATGTCGTTTTGGGCTCAACGTAGATAAATTATCTACATTGAGTATAAATAAGGCGACCCCTTTTTCATATATTATGTAATAATGAATATTGAAGCAACAATAACAATTAACATAATATAACCCTTAACCCTCAATTCAACCAAAATATATAAATCTTTCCAAATAAGATTATTTCTTGTTTCAGTCCTATGCAAGAATCTGCATGTTTCATAATATTATTGCTTGTCTGGTTAAAAATACTCCTTGACATCTTTTCCTCATTGTCATTAACAATCTGCTGGTGTTAAACACTGACTTTATTTCAGAACTTGGTGAATAACCAACTGGCCTCACCTTAGAAGCATTCTTCGGTATATTTTTATTTTTATTTTTTTTCCAAATTTTAGGGGAGTGGTATTTTGCAAAATTACAAGCAAAAGCAAAGTTACTATTAAATTGAAAATAAACCAATGTCCATTTAGATTTGCTTACAGTAATTTTTCAATGAAGCAACGGGTCGAGAAGACAGTTGAATCCTATAAACAATTACACAATAACCGTTTAAACATTTCCTAAAGACATGTCTTCCTTCATGCTGTACTCACACTCAGTGAAAAGTTTTGATATCTTGCACCAACTTTATCATAGAAACCATGTAGTAAGTAACAATGTATCTCTCCCACAACTGCAGAGTTTTCGTTTTTGTTTTAATCTCAATTTCTGTGCTCATTAGCCCCAATAATTCCCTGCCAACCTACAATTTCCATATCTGTGAAGATCCATCAGAAAATGCAACTGATGCCAATTTCCAATCCAACCTGACTTCCCTATTGGATTCTTTATCTTTAAAAGTTTCACTCCAGAGCTTCTACAATGATAGTATTTCTAGTAACCTCTATGGCCTCTTCCTATGCAGGGGTGATGTTTCCAGTGACACATGCCAAAATTGTACCAGAACTGCAAGTGAAGAAATCAAAACCCGATGTGAATATAACACAAGTGCAATCATCTGGTATGAAAAATGCATGCTTCGGTACTCCAAAAAAAACTTCTTTGGAAAGGCACAAACTTATCCAGAAGCATTCATGTGGAACGTCAACAATAGAACTTCACCCATTCAAGATGATATCGAAGCACAAGCTCTGATTTACCAATTAATAAAAGAAGCCTCAAATACGGATATGCTGTTCAAAACAGGAAAATCATTGGGGAAAAATGAGTCTCAGAATAGATATGGGTTGGTTCAATGCACAAGAGATATAAATGGGAGTTCATGCGCCACTTGTTTGTCTCAGTTGATGAAGGAGGCTCAACAGTTTTGCCAACACAAGGTTGGGTGGCGCATAATGGGTCCAAGTTGCAATATAAGGTATGAGAGGTATATCTTCTATCAGCATACTTTGGTGCCACCAGATATCTCTACAAAGCAGCTTGTCCTACCAGTTATACCAATTACAGTTGTTGCGATCCTTTTGGGTTTAGGGTGGGTTTCATGTTCTCTCTGGAAAAGCAGAAAAAGAGGTACTTTGAAACAGTGAAGCCAAGGAAGTTTCTAGTTTCTACTAAATTTTGTTATATTTGCCAAATCTTTCCTAACGAGATTTTAATTCAGGAGGTGGAACAAGTGATGAAATTCAAGTCAAGAATTTGAAAAGCTCAAGAAGGTCACACTTTAAGAAGCAAGGAATGAATGCAACACATGAAGACAACAGTGGAGAAGTGCACTATTTTAGTTTGAGAACGATTAAGGTTGCTACCAACTATTTCTCTGATGGAGCTAAGCTTGGGGAAGGTGGCTTCGGACCAGTTTTCAAGGTTGTACTGCATTTTTTCTTACTTCTTAGCATTTTTAGTTACAATTGCATGTGATTTTAGTTTCACAAGAAAATAACTGTTTGTCACAAAAGTAGCAATGGTTCTCTGATAAAACATACAAATAGTAGTATTGCATACTCAAAATTCACTAACTGTCAATGCACTGCACTATCCAATTCCGATACGAAATCAACCTCATTTCCAATAGCAAACTAGCAAGCTACATTTAGCTTTCATTTTTTCTTAAATCATGAATCTCTGGCAAGCATACAGGGGAAGTTGATTAATGGCAAGGAAATAGCAGTTAAAAGGCTTTTATTCAAATCAAGGCAAGGCCTTGAAGAATTCAAGAATGAAATGGTGTTAATCGCCAAACTTCAACACAGAAATCTTGTCAGGCTTTTGGGATGCTGCCTCGATGAAAATGAAAAGCTTCTTGTCTATGAGTACATGACCAACACTAGTCTCGACGTTTTCCTGTTTGGTTAGCTCTTTATGTCCCTCTATGATTTGTTGTCTGTATTTCTTTATGTATGTCATAGATACTAATGAGGAGTTTCCTTCTACTCTTATCCTGGCCAAGCAGATCCAAACAAACGTATAGAGCTGGAGTGGCCAAAGCGGGTTAAAATTATAAATGGAATTGCAAAAGGCCTTCTGTATTTACACGAGGACTCAAGGCTGAAAATTATCCATAGGGATTTAAAAGCTAGCAATGTGTTGCTAGATGAAGAGATGAACCCAAAGATATCAGACTTTGGGACTGCTAGGATTTTTGGGGGCAATCAAATTGAAGCAACCACTGAAAGAGTTGTTGGTACATAGTAAGTACTTTCAGTTCTAATATCTCAATGTAAATCCATATGACCGATACTGTAAAATATTTTCTTCCCACTAAATACAGCATTAGTTTATAAATGCAGCATAGTGAAAATTCACCATGTTACTTTTCCTGTTGCCGGCTAATCCCCGTACCTGCAGTTTATAGCTCATTAAGATCATGCTATGTATGACATTGGACAAAATTGACATTAATCCTTCCTTATAAGGGTGAATCTACGGTTCTAAGGATATTTTCCTAATTACTGATAGTGTCTACTGTATAAAGTCCTATCCAATAAATTTTAAACTATTGATTTTGAAAGAGGCATATTCAATTGAAGTGTATTAAATACAGCAGCACTATAATATGCCTTCTATGACCCTCTGACCTCTCATAAAAGCCAACTAATGTTATATTTCTTAATCCGGTTGCTGCAGTGGTTACATGGCACCAGAATATGCCTTGGAGGGGTTATTTTCCATCAAGTCTGATGTTTACAGCTTCGGAGTTCTGATACTAGAAATTATGAGCGGGAGAAAGAACACTGGCTTCTACCAATCAGAGCGTGGTCATTGTAGTGGACAAAGCCTTATATCCGATGTAAAGCTTTTTTTTTTTGCCTCCAAATTTGTATTTCTTGAGCCCCTTTAACAGTTTACAAAATTTATAATATTACTGATGGTGATTTCATCTATGTCATTTTTCTGAAATATAATACATATTTACAAGCAATTAATGATGAAGTCACAACTCTAATCTCACCCCTATACGAGATTTAACAGGCATGGCGACTCTGGAGTGAAGGCAAGGGACTTCAATTTATGGATCCTTTCTTGGTCAACTCTTGCCCCATAGGTGAGGCGTTGAGATGGATCCATATTGGGTTGTTGTGCGTTCAAGAAAGACCCATGGATAGGCCCACCATATCATCAGTTGTTCTCATGCTTGGAAGTGCCATTAATATTCCTCGACCATCTGCACCTCCATTTTCCATAGGCAGATATTTTGCATCTGAACAATCTTCAACCACTGGAAGAGAGATTGACTTTCTACCATCTTCAAGTAATGATTCTATTAAGGAAGTTTAATAAGACCGAAATGTTCCTGCTACTTATTGGAGATTGTTAGATCATTTATGGAATTTATTTGTATATTAAATTTTCCTATTTCCTACCTCATTTCTTATAGCTTGCTATACCCGTTGGGAAAAAGATCAATGCTTGGTTTCTTCTGTGTTTTATCTTCTTTCTCATTAACACAAAAGAAGGAAAATATTATATTGTACGGATGTGTTCTTGTGCTCCCACTCAACAACCTTTTCGCAAAAAAATTAATTTATTACAATTTAAATAAATAATTATAAACTTATTGTTATTTTAAAATTATTTATACGTGTATTGCAGTGTTACGTCCAGATTGAACGTCACCCGTCACCTCTAAGTTGGGTGTCAACACCAGACAAGTCACGCCTAAATTAGACGTGAGTGCCTCGTGAGTAATGTCTAACTTAGATATAAACGCTCAATCCGAGCATGACACACTACAATACACGTAAATAGTTTCAAAACAACAATAAATTCATAATTATTTATTTAAATTATAATAAATTATTTTTTTTCCTCAGTAATACACCCTCCTTCGACTTCGAGTAAGGGATGTGCATGGGTCGAACCGAACCGGATTTTTTGAAAATTCGAACCGAATTGGTTTAAATGGTTCGGTTCGGTTCGGAAGTGGTTCGGTTTGGTTCAAAACTGGTTCGGTTCAGAACCGGTTCGAAACCGGTTCAGGTCTACCCTCTTTTGAAAAAAAAATTAAAAATTTAAAAATAAAGTTATAAAAATTAATTTGGTTTGATTTAAAAATGGTTCGGTTCGGTTCGGAACCGGCTCGGTTCTTAAACTGGTTCTGAAAACCGGTTTGGTTCTTAAACTGGTTCTAAAAACCGGTTCGGTTCATGAACTGGTTCTTTAAAAATCGGTTCGGTTCATGAACTGATTTTTAAAAACTGGTTATTTTATGGAGCGGTTCGGTTCGGTTCATGGTTCGATCCATTTTTTTGATTATTTTGCACACCCCTACTTCGAGTAGCATGCGTTTGTTTTCTCTCTTTTTATTTTTATTTTTATTTTTGTGGTTGGGTTGTCTGGCCCATTCTCATGTTGGGCTTTTTACTTTCGGCTTTCAAGCACTGTATTTACGCTGAACTGTTAAAGGCCACTAAGCTTGGCAAGTCGTTATTAACCATCCTTCTTCCCTCTATTTGAGTATATTTAAAAAATATAAATATATATAGAAAATTAAGAAGAAGAAAAAATGAAAGCATATCGAGATGAAAATGATTTTGGTTTTATCATGATTATTATTTATAAATGTTAAAAATATCACTTTTAATTCAATTATATTATTAGGAATCGGAATAACTGGATTTTATGGGGTAAGGTACAAAATAATTTTGGTTAAAGCAACTTTTTCACGAAAGTTAGCCAAAAATGACAAGCCTTATTCATTTGATTTGGCGGTTGCTAATTGATCCTGGAGGACACGGAAAATCGGGAATAAAACAAAAATAAGTGGGGCAACGAGGACAAAGATTAAGCATGTCAATATGTTTGTTGCCAGTTGCCTAGCTCAACATGAATAAAACTCCTAAAACTTTCTTGGCATTTTGTCGTCAATAACAGCTATATATTTAAAAGAATTCTTATAATGAACACAATTCATATGCAAAATTATATAGGCCAAAAGAAGAAATTAATATGAAAAATAGAAGAAAAAAAAAATTCTATTTAGTATGGTAGGGTTGGGACATTCCTAATCGGGTAAATGCAGACGCTCACTATCTCTACTCTCTGCCCCAGACATTGGCACAGTCAGACTTAAATATTTCAAAGAACACCTAAATCCTTAAATAGATTCACTACTTAGCGTAGAGCTCATAATTTGCACTTGTTGCTTGCTTCCCTACCCTTCTTTTTCTGCTCATTCAGGTGAATTCCTTTCCTATCCTTCCCCTTCCTCTTCATTTTTGAATCAAGGGTTTCCCCTATCTCTATTTAAAACTCAATCTTTCTTCTTACTTTGGAATAGCTATAGTTAGAAACCCCCCCACCCCTTTATCTTTCTTTTTGTTTCAAAGCGGCAAGGACTTTCTCTTTGATGAATGGAGGACAAGATATGGGCTTGTGGTTCTTCTTTTCCGATTGATCTTTGATAAAGATTTTGTTTCTTTGAAATTTTCTGTTCTTGTTTGTGTGTGGCTTTCTAGGGTTTGCTTGTGGTCTCTCCTTCGGGGATTCTTTTTCGTGAAACCCCCCACACTCACTACTTACTGCATTTCCACTTTTCTTGCCAATTGTATAGATTTTCATGCTTAAAGTAGTGTAGGCGGAGATAACTAAATGAACAGTTATATTCTTTCCACTTCTCAAAACATGTTATTTTTCACTTTTGAGGTAATTTGTGTTTGCTTTTCTGGGAGCATTTATTTCCGCTCTGGCAGCATCAGGCCATAATTTCAGTTTTGTTTTGTTGAACGCTGTTTTCCGCTTATCTGTGCTTCGAAAAAATCCCTTGACAAAGAAAAACACCTTAATTTAAATGATTATGATGATATCCACTTTTATAGGTTGGGTTTTTGTGTAAAATCTTGTTGTTTAGTTCTTTATCCCATCTCCCACGCCGTCTTCCCCCCTCCCCCCCCGGCCCAACTTATTACTATTTGTAAAAAGATACATGAATGTTTGTTGCCCCATTTAATAGTTTGTCTAGTTGTTTTTCATTTCTTTGTAGTTATGGAGTTTTCAGTTTGATGGGTGTTTTGTTGATACAGGCATTTCAAAGGAAGGGTATTATTTGTTTTTTTGTTTTTTGTTTTTAATTTTATTATTAATTTTGCCTTTTTAGCGTATCTGTACATTGCTGATCATTGCTCACTTCGTTCCTTAATAATGCATTCGAATTGAAAACAGGTAGCCTGCCTTTGCTATTTGGAGAATATAAATTTACGATTTTTTTAAGTTAAGCATGTTAAGACGGTCGCCTAGTAGAAATCACAGATCCAAAGGCATCAAGGTAAAGCATGTTCTGCAGATTATTCTGTTGATTGGTATTTGCTTCTGGTTGATCTATCAGGTTAAGCACTCTCATGATAAGAAGAGGGAATTTGATGAGAATGATGCAAAAGTATCAGTCGGATCTCAGACTGCATATAAGATTCCAAAACTCGGTAGAAAAGACCTTCATCCGGTTAAAGACGAAGTAAACCAGAATGAAAAGCATGAGAAAGAAGAGGAAGATGAGAATATTGTAGAGGATGAAGATAAGCATCATCACAATGAACATGGAGAAGAAGGAAACAGGCATGAAAGTGAAGAAAAAGAAGACGTCGAGCTTGGAATGAGAGGAGGAGGAGAAGAAGAGGAAGATGAAAACAAAAATGAAGACATGGAAGATGAAAGAGGGGGAGGAGATGATGAGATAGATGAAAATGATCAAGAGAAATCAGAGGTGGATACTGGTCGAGATGAGGAGTTCATGGACGAAGAGAAAGAGAAAGAAGAGGAGGGTGATAAGAAGGAGAACGAAAACAGTGAGGATGAGAATGAGGAAAAAGAGGGTTCAGTCGAAGACCACAATAGTCATGAGGCTCGGGACGAACATTACAAGGGGGATGATGCTTCTAGCGCTGTGACTCATGATACTCATACAAATGGCGTTGTAACTGAGACAGTTAGTTTGGGAAATTCTGATGTGAACTCAGAAATGAGGATGGCGAAATTAGAGAACAAGCCTAATTATACTGAGGAAAGTAACAGGAACCAACCTAGTTCTGATTTTAAGTTTACAAAATTTGAACTGACAGATGGGACTTCTTCCAATGCAAATTCTGGTAAAGAATCTGGAAACAACAGTTTGTCCAACCTAGTGGATAGCTCGCATCTAGATAATACTGCCTCGACATATTCTGACAGTCACTCAGAAGCAAACAGTAATCTGACAATAGTGGTCCCTAAAGTCATCAATAACATGACAGGAACTGTTGCCAACACTTCATCTGAGCATGATAAAATGGTAATCTTTTCTGAACCAAACCAAGCTGAAAATGATACTATGAACACAACTATCACGGAAGATGTGAAAAATGTGCAGACAGAGGGTGGCAATAGAGCCTTTGAAGAAAACCTGACTGGTTCTAACTTAACAGTCCCTGTTGAAAGAGAAAATGAAGATACAGCTGGTGGTGAATTAGAAAAGACAAGAAGATTTGTAGCATCAAATGAAACTGAGAACAAGGGTAACACTGAAACGAGTGAAACAAACAAGACTGAGAATAATTCGTACAAGAAGGAGAACACTGATGCCACTAAGGATGAAAAGTTCGAGGGTGACAGGCAAAGAGGTGAAACAGCAGACTCATTCGCTGTGAATGGAACTTCTGATTCCGTTGAACACCATGCTACTGATTCTTCTGATTCTCATTTCCTCAATGGAGTGACAGGGATCCGAACTGATCTGCATACGTTGCCAAATATTAGAAATGAAGGAGATAATGGTGATGCAACTGCGACAGAGTAAACTTGAAAGATGGTTTTGGGTTCTCGAGAAGAGCTAATGTGTTTTTCTTCTGACCCATGTAGTTTGTCAAAGGTACAAATGTAGTCTAGGGGATATTTATATCAAGGTCTGGATATGTAGAATTAGTTCTATTTCCACACTACCTACTGCTATTGTTTGTTTCCCATCTTTTTATTTGTTGCTATGAAAGTTTTTTTTTTTTTTTTCTTTGGCTGATCATGATTTTCTTGTTTGAATTTCTCATTATATCCAAGCCAATCCATTTCTCTTCTTACTAGGGTGGAGTACAGAAAGTAAATAAATAAATAACTGAAAAATATAAAATTTGCTATAGTGGAGAGAAATTAGGAGTGACAGGACTAATGGGGAAAGGATACGGAGAAAATCATGCAGCAAAACATGGACACGAAAGGCTTACATAAATACGATACGATCATACGATGAAAATTGTTCATGAACACCTGATTATTTGCGTGACAAACCAAAACAGACACCAGCCGCATTTTTATCAAACATTTTAGCGTAGTGTGCTTTACAAATTTGTCACAGCATGAAACCAACAAATTATTACATATTTTTCTTTTTACAATAAAATCTTTTTTTTGTCAACTGATTATGCCCTCAAATAATTTTTAAATTTTTTATACTATAATATACTTTTTATTTTCAACTCTTAGTTGTTCTATTTTGTATATATTAAATCGAATACATTACATTGAGATTATTTTTTCTTTTAATCTATTCTCTTAAATAATAATATATGATATTCTTAATTTTTATTTAACTCAATTTAATTTGATTTAACTATACATATCTTCGATATAATTTTAATTTTTTAAAATTTACATCCATTCCTCATAACTTTACTTTTTTAATTTATATTTTTTTAAACTTTATCTAAATTTAAAGTATCCGTGCAACATATTAATTATCCGTGCAACATATTAATCTAGTTGTAATCGCTTGTACAATTGTACATAGCTTAAGTCGTAAAACCATACTTAGATTAGAGTAAAAGTTCTTCATTCAATTATCATTTAAATTTTTATTTTCTTTTTTTTTTTTTAAAAAAAGGTCATATCCCAAGACATTTTAAGAAATAGTTTAAAAATAATGTGATCAAATAACTTTGTCCGTTCTAGGCTTCCTGCCTGCCAACCTATGTCCAGGAATATAATACCAATTAAAACATGTAACAGTGCAACCTCATATATGCATGCACTTCAACCAAAACATAGGATTCTCAGGCTGAATTAATCTCACAACAAATTCCAACACAAGAGACATGAATTAAAAGTACTGTACAAACCCATCATCAGAATAAGCAAAATAAAAGAATACTAAGACCTGATCCATGAGCAAAATCGGAATTCAAAAATTTCTGTCTTAGCTAAGAAAAATATTCAATTCAAAGAATGATCCTGCCAAATAATTTCTCATCTCAACTGTACATTTTTACTCAAAAAAAAAAAAAAAAAAAGTCAGTACTCAATGTTACTCCGGATTACTAGAGCAATTAACCTCGAAACGACAGACACCCGAATCTACTGCCTCAACTCCTTTCGGAGCTTCTGAGAGAACAACTTGCAAGCATCCATGCTCAAATCCACGGCTGCGGCAAGAGCAACGAAAGCCGCAGCATCCTCCGTGCAAGTCACGTGCTTCACCCCAACCTCCACCTCCGGCTTGCTACACTTTCTTTTGCCGTCCACCGTCGCCGACATCACAAACCCCTTGTACAATAATTGCTGCTCCAACCCGAAATCCGAACCGGATCCAGAACCAGGCCTAGAACCGGACCCGAAATTCGAAAGGCATCCAGAACGGGGCCTTGACCCGGACCCGAAATCCCAGCTGCCATGTGGAGTATTCACCGGGGTAACGCCGGAGGTAACATCGATGGTGAATTTCCCGCCATGTTGGGAACTGATGCTGGACTCGGCGAGGACCACCGGGTCGGCGGTGGCCGGAAGCACCTCGAACCGGTACCCGACGGCGTTGGAGTTGCTGTGTTCGCGCCATGCCTCAAGGCGGCCCCAAGGTTTCCACGTGCCATCTCCATCGGGTCGGATTATGAGCCAGGCTCCAGGGTTGGACCGGCTGACCCGCTGCGAACCTGGTGAGGGAACGAACGGCGTGACCATAGACGCAGCCGCAACGGGCGAACCGGACAAATCGTGAACGGTAATGGACCATCCTTTACGCTCCGCTACATGATTCGCATTCACCGAAGGGAACTGGCCCGGGTTTCTATCTCTGAAACTGAACTTGCAAGTGAAAACCGGTTGCTTAACATCCCCTCTGACTTGAAAGACCTGAGGACTGCATTCCGGTTCGCCGTCGAACCGAAAGACGAATCTCGGGTCGGGTTCGGCCCGGACTGTTAAATGCAATAACTGACCCGACGAGTTGACCCAACCATTGTGGAACATGCAGGGTCTGGAGTCTGCCAAGGTGAGATCAAGTGGCACCGAAATCTTGCCCAATAGTTTGGCGGAGCTGAAGGCACACGAGGGTGTTTTCCGCCCCTTGTAAAGATAGATCTTGATACGAGGGTTCTTGGAGACCTTTAGGATTTGGGCTTTCGTGAAATCGAAGCAAGCAGCGATTGAGTGAGGTTGAGGCTGTGTCTCCGATATTAGAGGCACTGTGGCCACGTGACAGCCAGGGGAATCGAAGCCCACGCCCTTGAGTTTGATCTCGCAGAAACATGGGGAACTTGATGGGTGCACTTTGCCGGAGAAAGAAGGCTTCGATGATGCCGGAGATTTGATGGCGAGGTTTCCGACGAGGATCCGGACGAAGGGACACGGATCCATCTGAGAAACTAGAGTGGTTTGTTCTGAGGGGAATTGAATTGAATTAATAGGTGGGCATAATCAGCAAAGAGAGCAACTAATGATTTTTTTATGAGTGAGGGAGGGGTTCTTTATTAAGTAGGAAAACTGAATGTGACAGCCTGTAATTTGGTTGCGGTTTCATCATTATTCCTTTTTTTCCTTCCTCCCTCAATTCCTTTGAATTTTTATACATGATAGCGACATTTTAATTTGGCAGCCTGTTATTCATTAATAAAAAAATATTTTTGCGAATTAATAATTAATTAATGAGTTTGATTTGAAAAATGATAATCGTTGATTGGCGGAAATCAACGATTAAGATGTGATCGTAACATTGTGCGTAACATTATTTGTGTGTCACAATATCCTATCCTTAGTATTTTTATTATTTTGTCATTGTTTCGATTATTATTATTTTTTTGTTTTATTTATGGCATTAATATTTCTACATTAAATATAGATAAGTTATTTATATTTATTTTTAAAATGACGTTGTTTTGAGTTAAAAATTAAAAAATTATAATAAAAAATATTATTATAACCTTGAAATAAATTATAATTATAAAAATATTTTGATTTTCGCTTCAAAATAACATCATTTTGAGCTTAATGTAGATAAGTTATCTACATTAATTATAAAAAAAAAAGTGAATCTTTTATTTATTATATTACATTTTATTTGGTACTCACTACCAAATATGCCCAAATTGCATCTAATTCCTTTAAAATCAGTCATTCTAATTGACTACAAATCTTTCCCTTTAGGATAATTCGCAAGTTGGAACAATTTTTGTTTTTGTTGGAGGCTAATAAGTAACAAATCTGACTTGATGGATATCATACTAAAAAATAATTATTTGGTAAATGTGATTTTTTTTATTTGCTCATTAACGTACGAGATTTTTGGTACTTTTTTGTAAGGTTAAGATATATTTTGATAAAATTCAAAATAGTAAAATAATATTGTGTGTGTGCACTCACGTGCGTGGGTGCAAAGATTATCAATAAGTATTTTGAACATCAGTGCGTGAATCATTTAATAATTGGAGAAAACGCTAAATTATTTTCAAAGTTAAAAAATGTAAACTAAACCACTTAAAATTTGACAAACAATGAAGGACTTTGATAATTTGTATAGATACAAAATACAGTATCATCCCTGTATAATAAAATGAAAAAGTGAACTAAATGATCTTGATGATAATAATTTTAAAAAATAAATAAACATAATTTTGAATTAATATGCCTTTTTTGAACATACACACATATACTATTGAGTATTGAGAATGAGAGGTGTACCATTCCGTAGTTTATTGTATAACCCTTTTTTTTAGTAAATCATTGTACAACCCTTTTTGAATGTGAAAAAAGGTAACCACAACCTAGAATAAATGTAAAGTAATTAATTGCAAACCATATTAATTTGATAATTGCTTATTCAAACTTGAGAAGTTTAAAAAAAAACAAAAAAACTTGAGAAGTTTGATGTCATGTTACTCATTTTGTCTGTTATAAAAAAAAATTCTTAATATGATAAATTGTTTTAACAAGAAAATTTGATTTTTAAAAAGAAATATTTTGATTGATGTGACATTATTTTCAATGACAACGCTAAGAAAGTAATAATAAGTTAAGGGGACGTTTGGTATGCGGTATTTTTCAGAATTTTGAGGAAATTAAATTTTTCTAAATTTTTAATTTTCGAATATAATCGTGAACTGGATGTAAAAATCATATTTTTAAAAATCGAGATTCTTGAATAAAAAAAATCTCTTCTGCCAATACATGATAGTTAAGGGGGTTTTTTTTCGGAGATAATAGTTAAGGATTTAGAAAAACGTTATTGTCATCGTCATGAATGGGAAGACAGAAAGAATGAATCAGTTTGGCATGTTCTGTGATCTTTGTTAATTAACATGGTACCTAATGAGAAAAAATAACCATGGAAGTGATGGATTAGAACAGTAAAGAAAGAATTTCAAAAGATAAGAATAAGAAAAAAGGAGGGTATACTAGGATGATATATAGAGAGAGAAATAAAAATAAAAATAAAAATAAAAAGAAAGCGGTGGTGGGTTTGAGTTGAGTGGTGCAAAAGAAAAAAGATAGAGTATGAGAGGAATGAGCTGGAGGCAGAGAAAGGAGAGGTACAGTAAGAGCCAGCAAAGAGTAAATGGGGGAAGTTTGTCGTATTGGAAGTGTGCACGTACACTTTCCTCATTGGCTACAGCCGCATATGTCGGGGATCCAACTCTCACACAGCTGGCATTATTCCACCTGGCTCTTTCAAATAAAATCAAAGTGCATCAGGTGTTATTATCTGGATCATGTGGGTCCCATTACTTTACCAGAACTTTCACTTCTCACGTTTGCAGTCGTCAGATCGAATCTTTGTTCTTTCTTTTAAACAATGTAATGTAATTAATGAATAATAAGAATAAATAAGTGTATATTTGTTTCAGTTTTTTAGTTTAAGACGGTAATTATTTTTTAAGGAATCCTAAAAAAAACATTTGTTATTTCTAAAATAAAATAATTTAAACACCCACTAAATTAAACTTTACTCGTTTGCCTTTTTTACCAAAAGTATTTCATTCTTAATATCATAAATCTCATACTTTTTCTTTTGTGATTTAAGTTTTATAGAATTTTTTAATATTATTTTATTCTCTCTCATATATACAGTTAAAAAATAAGTGAAAATACCACAAGAGTGAGTATGTTGTAACGAATCAGACCACATAAAGGCAAAATACCAAACTTCATAATTCACGATGATAAATTATTTTTTAATCAAATCACAGAAAGATAAAGTAAAATTTACCTTTTGGCACACGTGCAACTTCTCTGATCCGACGTGATTTGAGGTTAGCTTTTATTGACGGAACATCTTAACAAAACAAAAAAAAAAAATACGATGATAGATGTTCCATCAATAAAAGTAACACATACTAATTTACAAAATTGACATAGGAATTGTAAACTGTTTGGTGTGGTTAACCAAGAAAAACATGAGGATAAAGACTGCAGAACCGATGACCAAATAGCTCGTTCAAGAGACAGCTGTGAGAATTTGCATGAGCTTACTAGGTGGTTTTCTGATATTTCTCTGCTTCAATGAAGTAGATTTCAAGGATATCCTCCATTCTCCATCGTTTACCGCTGAAGACTACATCAGTTCCCGTTTGTACTTAGTATTCTTTAGGATTTTCGAGAAATTAATTTTTTTTAAATTTTTAGATAATTTTCAGATATTATCATAAACTGAATGTAAAAATTATATTTTTGAAAATTGAGATTTTCGGATAAAAAAAAAAATTTCTCCTCTACCAAACACCCTATTCAAAGTATTCACAGTACAAATGCTACACATGGGACAGGATATTTCCCAATTCCCATCATTATGTACTTGGAGACTCGGAGTATCTCTAAGGAGGCGTTCAGTATGGGAGAATTTTTTTTTTTTACTCGGGAATCATGATTACTAGGAATATAATTAGAATATTAGTTTCCGGGGAATGGTACGAAAAAGTTGTTTGGTAGGCAAAAATATTACTGAGAATTTTGGTTAATTTTCCTGAGATGCTATTTGGTTTATGATAAAATATTGGTGAGAGTATGAAAATTTTTTACGAAAATAACCTCATACATTAATAGACAGGATTCGAAACAAAAACATCATTGGGCGAAAAAGAGTATTTTTTCTGGGCGAACTCTTTGAATACAGTAAATCCATGTTCATCTTGAATATTCACATATCGTGAACATCTTAACATCACCTCATCCTCCTGGTAAGGGCATCCACTGGAAAATATAAATTTAAATAACAAAACAATTGCTGATTCGTTACAAATATAACAATCTTCACTGCATACTAAATCTTCCCCATATCATGCATGTTTCCTGCAAATTTCTGAAATTGTTTTGGAGAACTGTCAAGAGTCTTCCCATCAAAGGATCTAGAAAAGGAAGGATTTCTTCACCCATGTTCTCGCAAAAAACAGCCAAAGCATAGTATGACTTTTCCTGAATAAATTTAAATGTAATGCTCAGATAACATGCAAACAATCCAATTAACTTTTTATTTTTAATTTTATTTTTGTATTAGCACATAATCTTGCAATCTATTGTATTGAGAAAATCGTTCTCTTCTCCAACGTGTACCTTTGCTTCATCAGATGCATCCTCAAGAGCATTTAAAATGCAGGGAAGAACACTCTCATAATGGGATACAATTTCAGGCTGTAAGTGCTCACAGTAGAAGATCGACCAGCTGTCAAAAAGGAAGGATATAACTGTCCAAAAATATCAGATTACAAATCCTTACATTGGGTATTTCACAAATACCACCTTTTTTGTGGTAATTTCATAAGGTAAAGTACAACACATTTTGCTCATAAAAGCAATTCCAGGGCAAATTGAATACTCACGCAACTAATGTGAAAACTCTTACCAAATGTGGTCTTTTATGATACCTATTATAACTTTCCTGGTATTTTTCTAAACATACCTCTACCAAACACTGTACAAGGGAAGGTTTTAAATTCCTATGAAAGTTACATTAGTAATCTTATATTCCCATGTTTGGTACAAAAAAGATGAATTCTTTTTCTTCTGGGAATCATGTTTTCCCACTCAATAGGTGGTATTCTACAAATCCCACTGGATGGGAAAATGCACCAAATTTCAGGGGACAAAAATAACCCTGCTTTATTCATTCCAAATTTCTATCTTCATCTCTTTTTATGCATCTCCGTTAGCCAATCACTGGGAAATATAAAACTTTCAATTTTTATCAGTATAATATTATGGGTCAGAGTAAACCCTGCTCCAACAAGAATCATAACAGAAACAAAGGCCATAAATTTGAAAAAAATAAACAAGATAAGCAGAACATAATGGTATCCTTGTCATCTTTCCAAATGATAGGTGAATATTGTTGAGAACAAAAACAATGAAAATGCCAAAGTAGCCATTGAAGTCGAAAATCTTTGCAACTTTTCCTACGCCTGTTTTGAATGTTGTAGTCACATATCAAAATGTGTATTGATGAGAGAGA